CCGGTTCTATCAAGGACGCGGTTCCACTTTTTTCAAAACCCGAAAATCAATAACGTTTGGGCTTATCGATACCACTATCGAGTCTCGTCGTTTTTTTTTCTCCCGTAGGTCCTGTAACGTAATTGTGTGTCCCTCGAGTCGCGTCACAGCATTTAAATCTAATCAATCCAATCACTGCAGCGTGTCCACCAATGTTTTTGAATGAAATTGTAAGCAAACAGGTATTAAAAGTAAAACAAGTGAAGTCTGGCAGTTAACTTCGCTCGCGTAGATGGCTGAACGGGCAAAAAGGTCTACAGTTTGGCTTCATTTTACCAAGCTCAAAGATAAAGAGGAAGCGAAATGCAACTTATGTTGCAAAATCATTTCTTGTAAAGGGGGGAACACAACCTCAATGGCCAAGCACATTAGCATTGTGCATCAAATAAAGGCCAAATGCAGTACCTTCGACTGTCTCCGGGTTGAAAAGACTCTGTCTCCTCCTCCTCCTCCTCCTCCTGCTGCTGCCACCGCACCACAGACAGACCCATCTTCATTATCCACTCAAACTACCAGCGGTAAGCGCACACACAGACTTTGTAGGCTAGAAACGTTTTTGTTATGCTCACTTGTTAAGCAATAAAAGCAATACCAGTTCTGTTAAAAACATATTGTCGCATCGTCTTTTCACCAAATAATAGAAAAGTATCGATAGTGGTATCGATAAAGACTCGGATCAATAAGGAGTATCGATAAAGGTATCGATATCAATAAATATTAACGATCCCCATCCCTACCACCAGTTGAGTTCTTTTTATTGTAAAGCAGAAGCCATAGAAAAAAGTTGCGTTTGCCATACAGGTCTTGGACGGCTGTAAAAGAGTGAACAGCAAACAGTGAGACTGACGTCAATGGATCAAATATCAATTTCCTGTGAATCCATTGTGTGTTTGAAGATAATATGAATGCAACTTGGAAATGGCAGACTCAGCCACAAAATAAAAACTGATGTCAGGAGTAATTACTCAGTATAAAAAATTACATTGAATGGCTAATGCAAAAACAAAAAGCTATAATGCTAAATAAATAGTGTCAAAAATGACGTGTGAGTTTGTGCAAATTGTATGGATTATAACTTTAATTCTAGCAAAATGAAAATGGAGCACTCTTGCCACCAAAACAGATGGTGAAAATACAAAAAGCAGATTTAAAAGCTGACCATGTACCAAACCAGGATTTTCTCTCAAGTTGCTCCATTGTGTTCTTGCATTTTGACTTAAATATTAAAACTTTAATTTGTTTTGCGCTGACTCACAGTTTTGTCATTGATAAACATCCATATACCCAGAGAGGTAGAAATGAATTCACTTAGGCCCTCTTTATATTGCCACAGCACAAAATCAATTAGTTTGTTCCTCCGTCTAGTCTGTTTTCCTGCTCTAGGGATCTCCCCCCGTTTCCTTCCAAGTCCCCCCCCACACCCACATACACACACACACCCAACCCCCTGCCTCGGAGAGCAGCTTTCAAAGCACCCCGGGAAAAAAGTGAGAGGGAGGATGAGAATGAGAAAACGGAGAAAGGAAGGGGAGCTGGAGAAAGAGAGAGACTGTGCCTCGCCATGGGGGAATAGACAAATAGAAGAGATCCGCTAGCTGCTTTGAAGCCATGCAGTCTGTCTCTCCTCTCTCTGTCTCTTTGACATTCATGGGGAACAGTTGAGAGTGGAGGAGCATGGGGGATTCCACTGCCAGCCAACCAATACTGAGCCTAATTAAATAGTTGCCTAAAGACAGAACCCTCGCCCCACCTCCACCCCCTGACTAGGAACAGGTGGGCTCAGGAAGACGCTGTTAGTTTTTGTGTGTGTGTGTGTGTGTGTGTGTGTGTGTGTGTGTGTGTGTGTGTGTGTGTGTGTGTGTGTGTGTGTGTGTGTGTGTGTGTGTGTGTGTGTGTGTGTGTGTGTGTGTGTGTCTGTGTGTGTGTGTGTGTGTGTGTGTGTGTGTGTGTGTGTGTGTGTGAGAGTTTGAGTGAATCAGGGCCTTTTTAGCAGCCTCCCAGGTGCCAGTTGTAAAGGAGAGGTAGAGGGCAGCGAAAGACGCAGACGTGTCATTACTGTTCCTTCTTCTATCATTTAAGGTGGCCGCTGTTTACTTCCGCAGCGTACCCGATCTTTATATTACTGTGTTCATGGAGGTGTTAATGAGTGATTGGCAAACAGTGGCGCTAGTGAGTCATCATCTCTATAAACAGATATCTGTGGGCAAGGGACCAAGATTTTGTCATGTTCTAGTTTCCGTTTGTTGTCTGAGATGTATTGACCAATCACATTTGAGCAGGCTTTGGTTGTATGCAGGTCAAACAGTCTGTGTGAACAGCAAAAGAGGAGGAACGCATTGGCCAAAATGCAATCCCTTAGGAAGATGCAAGAACCCTCAGGCAATTATATGACAGCAATTTAGCTTTTTATTAGCTTCTTTAAAATGCATCTTCATTAATATGCAGATATCTGTTTATCTGTGTCTGTCTCGTCACTCATGTCAATATCATCAAGCTACAGAGGAAGTCTTGGCCCAGATATCCATTTTCCAAATAGCTGGGAAGTTGTTAGTTACAACATAGCTTAAAATCACAGATTTATGTCACAGGGTTTTAAAAACTAAACACCCCTCTATGCTAAGCTAAACTAAAAAATAAATAAATAATCATAATCATAATATCACAAGGTTAAAAAAGGGGGACAAATCTGATATCCTCAGTATGTACACACATTTACAGTAACCTGGTTACTACAGTGCATGTAAACATGTTCTCTGATTACCTGCGTAACCTGGCTGCCTATGTTTATGTAAACACACTGAATGACAGACGGCAGTACGTACAGTAGGTGCTGCATGTACAGAGTAGACAGAAGTCTCAGCAGAAGAATTACAATAGTAAGTAAATATAAAGTCTGTATAATGTTAGAATACAAATATTGTTTGATGCTGGTGAGGCGATTTGCTTCAAATTCAAATATATTTTAAACTTAAGTATAAGACTGTCCTGCTGTGAAGACCAGTTCACCAAAATGACACATTTTTGCAGTGCTGTTTTTATCTTTCCCAGTTTAAGACTGGTCCTGCTAGTAGGTGGTCATCAGTATGACAACCTTTCAGACTTTTCAGACATGTTTCTTCTTAGCTCTAACTGAAAGGCTTTACATGATTAATTATCATACCTTGAAACAAGTTTAGTAATCCACTACAACAGCTGCTTCACAAGATTACGTATCTTTGATAAGAAAAAATCAAATTGAATCACCCTAAAATAAGATAAAAGCCTTTCTTGATTGGAAGGAAGTATAAGTTTGAGGGAAGATTATTTTCTCATCCAGGTCAGGGAGACAGTGGGAGTCAGACGGGCAGTTTGTAAAAATTATTCAGATGAAGATTAGAGTGAAATGACCCAGATCAGTGTTTCTCTAGCTATTCTTCAAGGCTGCTGGTCTTTCCTTTCATCCTGCCACCCTGCCCTTACTCGTATGGATGTGCTTTTAAACTAGGTAACCACTACATGGTCAAGTCACCAGGTGTCTCCAAGAACTACTTTTCAGCCTGTAACAGGGTTATTGGTAAACAAAAAAAAATATAAACTTAAACTTAAATTAAAATATAATAATGTAATAATTCCTGGCTTAAAGCTACAGTCAGTAACTTTTATAAAAATAACTTTTTGTCATATTTGCTATATCCTGACAGTTGGGTTATATTTTGTTGAGTCTCATTTCCAGGTTCAAATATCAGCGCTGGGAATGAGACTCAACCATCTTTCTTGCGAATGCCATTAGGAGCACTAGGAGGAGCCAGAGGAACCTGATTTTTTTTCACTGATTATCTGTCTCATGTACTACTGACAGGATATAGTGAAAGTTTCAGCAAATATGACAAAATAATTATTTCATAAAAGTTACTTTTTTTTTCTTTAGGTCTCTCTGATGAGCACCATTTCTGTAATTAGGAGCTCCCGGTCATGCCAGCCTTTGCTGTAGAGAACAATTTATCCCAATTGTGTGTTATGAATGGCTCTCCAGATTACCTGCAGTTAGGGAAGATTTCTCTTAATGCCTCTTCAACAAGCTGCCGGTTTAACATTGATGGTTTGATTTGGGCTTGAAACGTTCAGTCTGTCTGAGAGACAGCCATTAGTCAAACCACATGCACGTATGCCAAAGTAAAGGAAACAACCAGGCATGGAAAGAGTACTGGAATATTATGCTCAGGTAAAAATATAAAAAGTTGGTCACAATGTTAGACATAGCCTTGTACAGGTTAAAAAATGATACAGTCTCCAGGTAAAAGTCGTACACATCTTTTTCAGTGATGTTTCACTTCGTTAACATATGAATGGATTCTGTCCACAGAAACACCAGAGAGCTTTTAATCTTTGAAAACAGATACAGGAGGTGTTGAGTTTAAAAAATCATTCACATTTTCATGTCTGTGACATATTCTACAGATAAAGACATTGAAACTTTAGTGAAAGCTGTATATGGTGGTGTAATGTCGATACGACTGTGAACAAACATATAAGCATTTTCACTGTCATGAACCGTCGCTGCAGCTGGCAGTGTGGCTGCTCTAATTGTGTTAACATGGGCACCGAAATAAAGAAAGGCGTTCCACTACACTATGCAGACGCAGGTAGTGTGCACCGGGTCAAATCTATGATCCGTAATCTAACGCATTGTTGGACTTGCCCTAAACTTTACACACATTGGAAAAGCATTGTTCACTGTTTCTCGGAGGCTTTTGGGAAGCAGTGGGAACCTGACCTGCTCCTACCCATTTTGGAGCAACTAGCTAACTAATAGAAAATGGACTGTACCTACATATGACTTGTGGTTGAAAGAACTGGCAAACACATTACATCCGAAAACCTCCTTTTTGGTTACAATAGTAAATGCACTGTGCTGCCCACACACTATTCGGGCTTTCGTTGGTCCTCTGCCTAATATTGTTGCGTGTGTGTTTGTGTGACAGATCCAGGATTTGGCCATCCGCTGCATCCAGAAGAACATAAAGAAGAATCGTGGTGTCAAACACTGGCCATGGTGGAAGCTTCTGACCACCGTCAGACCTCTGATCGAGGTGCAGCTCACTGAGGAACAGATCCGCGGCAAGGACGTGAGTGTATATATATACACACACACACACACACACACACACACACACACACACTGGAAGAATGTTGTAAATGATGTTAAATTGTTGCATTTTTCTTTAGAACCACAACTACTGAACTAGTACACAGGAAATAGCTTTTTCTGCTGGAAAGTAAGACTGGTGGATTTGAGGCTGATCTGGACTCTTGATGGAAGTTGGAAACATTTTGACCAAAGTCACATCAAAATATCCTACATTTTCAAGTACTTTTCCTGGAATCTAATTCCATTATTTAATGTATTTCTTTTTAATGGAAATTCCTTGAATTTTGACCATTCTGACACTGTTAAACTTTGCTGGAGACAACTAGCATGTCTCAATGAATCTTTGTTAAATAATAATGCTTCACATCTATAAGATTAACAAACGGTGGTGCACAATTTAGCCAAAAATAGAACACACTTATGAGTACAGTTAGTTTATATGCTGATTGATTCACTCCATCTGCTGTATCCTCACTGTCTGTCTGTCATTAACATCTTGTGTCGTTCTTCCTCTCAGGAAGAGATCCAGCAGCTGAAGCAGAAGCTGGAGAAGGTGGAGAAAGAGAGGAATGAGCTTAGACTCAACAGCGACCGTCTCGAGAGCCGGGTAAACACACAGAAATAGACAGACACGTGTGCATGACAAGGATTTTTTTAATATAGAAAATGTAATCAGAATTCTGAGAAAAAATTTTTAAAATTCCGAATATTTTCTCAGAAAAGACACATATGAGAATAAAGAATTGAAATTTGTTTGATGGTAGTTGAACATATTATTGCCAAAACACATTGTATGTTTAAGTTTATAGTATATAATGATTGGATTTTCAAAAATGTACCCCCTGACCAAAAAAAAGCCTATATAAAGAGATACATAGAGTGCTGCTCCAACAGTGTCTGATTTATTAAACATCAACCATGGCACTAAAAAACACAATGCTTCATTTCATAACACTAAGACGACATTGAAGTTGCAATGAACTATGTCTTTTTGATAAGTTGCACTTACAGTTTAGTGAGAAACATGACCTTGTGCTTCACTGAGGATCTCTGTCATTCTCTATGGCAGGGAGGAAACTGCTGGCATCAAACTCTCTCCCAGAGGTTTCACTGCAGTTAACAGTTACACTGAAAATAGGAATAGTGAATATAAAATGTGGTTCATCAAACTTACATTTATCACAATATATCTTTTTAGGATTATGTATGACTGATATTTTTTAAATTACAGTATCCACTGCAGTACTACAAAGTACTACATAATACATTATGCAACATTATCACTGCACATACCAGTTGTTATACACATATTTATATGATATATGATGAGATGAAATACAGTTTAAAGAGCAAAAGATTTTTTTACGGGTCACAAAAGGAGACATGAATTAAGGCAAATAAGAAGCATCCAGGTGTTAAGTGCATCTAAAAGGTAATGGTGACAGCATAGACTGTATAAAACTGGCTCAGTCTGCTAGTCCAAAAATGGGCAAAGAGGTGGAGCATGGGTGGAGCTGAGGCGGTCTGAATGAAGCCGAGTTACGGCCTGTGACGGCACCCACCTGTCACGGCACCCACCTGTCACTCAAAGTGGCCATGCCCTTACTTATGCCTAATTTAGCCTTAATATAATTTAAACAGGGGAGTTATATAAACATTCACCCCCTGTACAGTTGTCATAAACGGGGAAATTAGCTATAGAGACAAAAAAAAAGCCGTTAGAGGAACTGCAGGTTACTTCCGTGTTGGCTTCATTTGCAGCCATGGAGATTTGCGCTGAGAGAGCCTAGGAGGAAAACAGATTTTTTTTTTTTTTTTAGATTTAAGATTTCAGTTTCATGTTTGTATGCTATGACATATTTTGCTGCATTCGTCTCACTTTCTTCCCATGTATGTTCCCACGTACTGTGAGTTTTGATCTGAGAGTGTGTATGATCACTTGTCTATCAGTAGGTCATATCCGTTGTATATGAATTATATGTAATAAATCCCCAAACTTTGCCTGAAACAAAACAATATCTTCTAAGCTAAACATGAAAACAGTATAAACATGCTTGACACTCACTGTGTGTTTGTGTGTTGCATCAGATCACAGAGCTTTCATCAGAACTGGCTGATGAGCGGAACACTGGGGAGTCAGCCTCCCAGCTGCTGGAGACTGAAACCTCTGAGAGACTGCGCCTGGAGAAGGACATGAAGGACCTGCAGGTAGAGATACACACACACACACACACACACACACACACACACACACACACACACACACACACACAAACACACACAGATGTCTAAGTTTAGAAGTTTAGGTTTGATTTAAACTCACACACCAGAGGAGTAATGCCTCACAGTGTCCGTTAAAGCACTAACCCATTCCTTCATGTGACTTTTTGTCTAGCACAGTACCGTTAAGGCAGATGAAACTGTTAAAAACAGTTTATAGCCCAATTAGCCCTTTAGCCATAAGGTAATACAGTTTTCTACAACACAGATACATTTTATGACAATGAAGTTTGATGGTAATGCGTGTTGTAAAATATAGTTATAGTATAGTCTGCTCATTTATAGAAATTTAACATTAGTGCATCTGCTTGAATTATTGAAAGGCAGAACTGTTAGCCAGCGCTTGCTCCTGTATCTATTGTAATGTCTGAAAGGGAGTAAGAATGTTGTAAAATGTTGCATATAGAATGAAACTTGGACGACTGAAAGGCTGTCTCATATTTAAACTTTTTGTAGTTTTAAAAGACATTCAGGCAGAAACCTGTAAATTGCACAGTGTTGATGCCCTTAGTGCCTGTCCTTGCGACACAGGTCAAAACACCAGCAGCATTTTATTATTAAACCAACGCGTTGCAGCTCATCGCCTTCATCATGAAACACATTACAAACAAACGTGACTATGTAGCAGGCTGACCCTGAAATAAAATATAACAGGAAATGCAAATTACATTTCAGCAATCTCATAGTTGTCCAATGATCACATCCTTTTCTCCTGTATGATCTCCAACTCATTTTTCATGTAGAATACAACCACCTACTGTATCTCACCCTTTGAATGAATTCGTAGCTGTTTGTCCTGACAAAGTGCATATGGAACTCTAATTAAGTTAAAGTTCTGCATTAAAACAAATAAACACTGGATCGCCCACACACACTCGCACTTTCATTAACTAGTATATTCCCATGTAGCACATTAAATGATCCCAGCTCTTCAGGTGTGTAGTGCTCAGCTCTAGATGCTGCTGTGAGACCGCAGGAGAACACAGCCTGCTGGGCTGTAAACCATCACTGTCTAAATGAGTTTTTCACCTAACAACAAAATCCTGGTTTATAGGTATCCAGCCTTTAATTTGTTCAGTATTGGAGAGTACAAGCACAGGAGGTTTTGGTCTATCCCAGTCTTGTAGAAACAAATCAAAATTTTCAAAGATTACAGGGCATTATATTTCCACATTGGTAGATTTTCCACCGTGTATATTTTTCCTAAAGAATTTCTAGTTCAATCTTGACTGATTTGAGCACATCCTCTTTGTTTATTTCCCTGAAAAAAAGTGAAATAGTTGCAATAGTTTGATGTGTGAGGCTCCATTTAGGGGCAGTTCAGTTCATGTGGGAAACGGCTACCACACCACTACTGTCGTGCCTGTCGTTACTAAGCAACCAGAACCAGCAGCCTGCATGATGGTGATGATGAAGTTGTGGTAATTTAGCACTAAGCCTCACTGACTTAACTAATTAACAGTCAATACAAAGACACGTGGATTACCAGCTCCCCTCACAGGAGCTCTACTGCTTGATTTGTGTTCTTTTGTGTTCTCAGTTTGGCTGACCGACTGGATTTTGTTACATCCTTGCACAGCAAGTCCTGTGGAGGCCATTGGTTAATTCTTGTCACATGACCTATGGTGCGATATTTCCATCTTGGTGTGCCGTGTACACACCACCATGTTGCAATGAATGCATGCCACAACAACGTTGCTTTCGGTTTTGAGTGGACTCGTCGTACGTCTCAGTTCAAAATCATGTATTTGCGCATGCAAAAGACGCAACATCTGATTGCCACCCCTAACAAGATTGGTTCTCTGTTAAAAGAGTGAACAGGTTCAGCGCTCACATCGGCCCTCATGTAAGAACATTTTTGTATATATATATACTCATCCAAACACTATTACTTTTTTTTGTGAATTGTTTCAGCCTGTGAGTGCCACCTGCTCATGAGCAGTTGGTCATTTGTGAGATTTAATTATTGGCATCAGTGCTCCACTATTGGCTCGCTGTTTCATTCACAAAAACGTTACCAAAAAGTAAAAGAAGATTTTCACTAAGCTTCTGGTCCTGTTGTCCAAAACCATCAGACAAACCCATAACAGATTCAGCAGTGTCAGTGGTGGTATTAGAGGATCCAAATCAGTTAGAAGATATTAATACAGCTGTCCACAACATGTTATCAGAGCAGTGCTGTACTGTGCCAGATATATAGAGGGAATGATTTGACATGAAGTTAGAAACTAAGAAAACATCTCCCTAAATCCAGACCCTGAGGCAGCTGTCGGAGTGAGAGGATTTTCCAGCAACTGTTTAAGTTGCCGAAAGATGTCAATAACAATCATAAAATGTAAAAAAGAGAACCCCTCAGTGAATTGGAAAGCCTTGATGACGATGATACAATTAACAGAATATTCTTTTTTCATTCGGTTTATTTTAGTTCAATGTAAAATTTGGTATTTAAACTGTTGAGAAAAACATACTATCTGTACTTGACTGTACAACAGCTCAGCGCCGTGCATGGATTTAGTTCATAACTAAGATTGAATTCTAAGTATGAAAAAACTGCCACAAATGTTCTTCAATCATAGTCTGTTTGTTGGAGTGGTTCTTCCATGAGACCCATTGATTTCTTCAAATGTCTGTAAATTATAGACTCTGCCAATGTTATCTGGTGTTATATATAATACTTGCATTCCATATGCATGTTGAATGGTTTCTCTAATCATCCATTCTCTCCTTGCTAGCTGTAAAGTGGTTCCCTCATAGAGCAATTACATTTCAGAAATGGTTCTTGCACTTTACAAAGTACATTCTGAGGTTCAACTGAAGCGGATACAAGGCTTCTGTAGACAGTGTATTTTCAAAGTCAATCGACCCTTCCTAAGTCCCGCCCCTTTTTGCTCTGTGCTAAATAGCAGTTGAGCAAGCCTCGGTCAGATTTCTCCTTTCCTGTACTTAGGCCACGTGCAGACCGCAGGCCAAAGACACCCAAAGCAGATGTTTTGCTCATATGTGACTCAGATCAGTTTTTTTATGATGTGGACATCAGAAATCCCATGCAATCTGATCTTTTCAATTCTGATTTGGGCCACTTCAGATACCTGACCTGTTACTGGAATCTGATATGGGCCACATTCAGAATATAATGTGAATGGCCAAACATAAAAAATCTGATCTGAACAACAAATCTGGATTAAGCGCTAAGGCTTGCAGTGTAAATGTAGCCTAGATATGATATATAGGCTAGTCTATGTTGAAAAGACATATATATTTATATATACCATAACATTATGACCACTGACAATTGAAGTGAATAACACTGATAATCTGGTTATCATGGCTCCTGTCAGTGGGTGGGATATATTAGGCAACTAGCTAGCTAGGTACATCTGGTAACTAATGTTAGCAAATTGCTCGCTAAAGATTTATCAACATAGAGAAGCCTAGCACATAGAATTTCTAAGTTCCCAAAAGGGGTGGGACTAAGGGGCAATTACATGAGAATTACATGCCCTAAAAAAGGTGATTTGAACTGCTGAAACCTCACATTGGCTTCAAATCAACTTATGTTGTATTTTTGCAGAAGGCTGTGGATTTTGTCCTCCATCTTCTTGTTGTGACAGTGTTGTCACTCTATGAAGGGATTCACAGCTATTACAAAGGGGAGGAATGATTGCAGCAACTGTTGACTCTTTCTATGAACTGTGTATGTGACATGCAATCCAAGCATACATATTCTACCAAAACACCAGATCAGCCGACGTTGCCAACAACAGTGACGCTCACCATGCAGTCATCGTACATAGACGCTGTTTTTCTGTTCTCCTGCTCCCTCTGCCTCTCACACATCTACACACACACACACACACACACACACACACACACACACACACACACAGTGACAACTGTAATTGCAAAATCATATTGTCAGGCCATTTCTCCACCACTGTCCTCCCCCTCCTCCCTCGATCCATTTAGTTCACTATTTGACATTTTTGACATGATTCTTTTCTCTGGTTTTATTGGGGTGGTGGTTTTGGGATAGATTTTTTTCCAGTGACTGCCCGGATAGCCATGGGGAGGGGCTGCCTACAATACAAATGGCCTGGCTTATAGAAATGGCAGATGGATTTTTTTCTTCTTGTGTGTGTGATTGAGGGAAAGGCACAAGGGGGCAATGTGGGTATTCGTACAGAGGGAAAGGTTTATCTAATGTTGGGAATGTTGCACAGGAATGGACCAGATGTGTGTTCATATTTGGATTACTTACTGTATATAGTAAGTTGTTGCAGTTCGTTTTAAAGTGAGGTCCAGGAACCTTCAGAATCCTCCAGAAGAAGTCCCCAGGAAAATGAGAGTTAAAGGTAACTTTAGGTCTGAAGTTTCCATACACTTGTAGATACTGTTATTATGGGATTCCAATTATTTATACAACAAACACAAAGTGATTGGAAATGCACTTTTTTATCACAAAAAATAAAAAAGTGCTTTCTTTAACAAATGAATTGTGTCTTAAAGAAATATGACCAAATCTAATGGCTGGGGCCTTATGGAGATTGACTGACTGCTGGAGCCATCCTCAAGTGGCCATTAGAGGAACTGCAGTTTTTGTTACTTCATTGTTGGCTTCTTTTGCAGCCACAGGGGTTATAGCTTATTGACCACTTTTCTTGGCAAAATTATAAGAATTCAACTAAGTTTGTTTTCTTGTATGGGCTGTACTGTATTTTTAATGCGGCTGAGGACAGGACTTTGTGAAGGCCATTCCAACACTTTATTTAGCTTGATTTAACCATGTCATAACCCTTTTGATGAGTGTTTGGTAGGGATGAGCAAGTACGCCATTATCTGTGTCTGTTGAAACAGCTAAATTATCTGTGTTTGTGTCCGTACTCGGACAGATGTAGTTGGTGCTTAAGCCTGCCTGAAGTTTAAGCCTGAAATTGATATGAGTTGATCAGAAGTTGCTATATTAATAAGGAAACTATTTACAGAACAGCCTCAGAATGGATCTTCAGAACCATATTTTTGATCACAAGAGTAAGAGAACTATTGACACATTATTTTTAAACTTTTACAGAATTGTATTGCAAGTGATACACTGAGGGTCACACATAGCATGATGATTTTTCAGAAGAGCCTCTAGTAATCACATCATGATAAGACCCACTGTGATTTTAGCGAGTTACTCTCATCAGTAGCCATTTCAGTCCTGCACCAAGAGCAACTAAACTTTCCTCCATGTCTCTGTGTTTCTATTTGGGCTCCAACTCATGAAAACCTGCAGACCTCCGAGGTTAATCTATGGAGACAGATGTGTTCTTGTTGTCATAGCAACCACTTCTTCTCTCTGATCCACCAGGCCAAGTTTGACACCATGAAAAAACAGATGGAGTCCATGGAGATGGAGGTGATGGAGGCTCGACTCATCAGGGCTTCTGAGCTCAATGGAGAGATGGATGATGACGACACAGGTCAGACACACTCCTCCATACACATACACACACACACACACACACACACACACACACACACACACACACAATGTGGACAGAATAGCAAAAACGCCCCAGAACAGCAGTAATTACCAAACTGCTGAGACTTGTGATGTTAATTTTATGTTGCTTTAAAAACTCACTCATAAAGATGCTAATTGTCAGACAAAGCTGCTGGACACCCACACAGGTTGTTGGCTGATTAGATGTCTCCTCAGGACTGTGTGGAAGTGTACAGGATCAAGCCTGAGTGACAGTTCTTTGGGTTTTGTCACATCTGTTGAGGTGGAACAACTTAAAAGTGCTATGAGCAATATTTCTGTTAAAATAATGTTAAATAGCTCTACCTCCCAACAGCCATTACTGATATAGACTGTCCAGTCAGGAACATAGGTTTCCCAGTTCTCTCAATAGGGCTGCAGCTATCGATTATTTTAGCATTCGAGTATTCTGCTGATTATGCTGTAAATAAAACAGCCCCTTTAAATGAAAAACTAATTGGTTTCAGTGTCTTCTCCTAAGTAAATTTTCCTACCCCAAAGCTTCAGCATCTTGCTCAAGGCTTCGACATGTGGCACCAGGAGCCGGGGATCGAACCCACAACCTTCCGATTAAGGAACGACCCGCTCAATTCAATTCAATTCAATTCAGTTTTATTTGTATAGCGCCAATTCATAACAGAAGTCATCTCAGGACACTTTTCAAATACAGCAGGTCTAGACCGAACTCCTTATAACATTATTTACAGAGACCCAACAGTACCACCATGAGCAAGCACTTGGCGACAAGGACAAGGAAAAACTGCCTGTTAAAAGGCAGAAACCTAGGACAGATCCTCCGGCTCTAGGTGGGTGGTCGTCTGTCTCGACCAGTTGGGGGGAGAGAGGGAGGGAGGGAGGGAGAGAGAGAGAGACAGAGAGACAGTAGCAACAACTACACTAATAGTAGTGACTGATGATGATGAACATGACAACAGCAACGATGGGGGCCAATGAGCAGTGACAATAGTACTAATAGTAACTGTAGTAATAATATTAATAATAATAATAACAATAATATCAGTGATATTAGCAATGGCAGTTAAGCAGGATCATGGCAGGAGGCTCCACCAGGATCCATGAGAACCTTAAGTTCTCTCTTAAGTGCCCGTCATCGTTTTTTTGTATGTTTCAAAGAGAAAACCCAACGGTTACAAAGTTGATTATCTTGGCTAGATGAGAAAAGAAGCATCAGTTGCTGGGCAAAGGACATAAAAGTTGTTGGATTTAGTATTTAGCATTTCCTAAACTGAGCTAAGATAGGATGACATCAGATAAGATAGAATTCCTGATCATAACTTAAGACTTATTTTAGGAATTTATGTAGTAAGGCCACTGTTTTCTTTGTCAAGCTCTGGTTAGCACATTCACAGCCTAACTGTACCTGTGTGTTACCTGCCGATCCTACCCTTTTAAGGAAGGTTGAGTCTAGCAGGTTTGTTGTTTGGTCTCTTTCCTGGTGTGTGAGGGGTAGTTGCGTAATTTAGTCACCCAGTAGGTGTGTTAATAAGCTCAGGTTGCAGTATAATAGTTACAACTGTATGTGGTGTTTGCTGCCACAGAAAAGAAACAAAAAGTCCCAGTTCACTTAACATTACTACAGCGTCTTCTCTACTCACACAGCAGAGCCTGTCCCGACTGTGGACAGCTAGTTAGCTACTTGGCAGATGCGAGTCAGGTTAAAGACAATTAAAGTAACTGGAGATCTCCAAGATACGCTTTGACCTGGAAGCAGCACACGATGAGATGAATGATTGATTGAGAAGGATCCCGTTCATCTTACAAAGCAGCACTACCAGGATTGAGTGCTTGCACATATTATGTGGGATTTTGTTGTATTCCAACATGTGTTCACACTGAGAGAGTTCTCAAGACCAATTCTTAAGAACCTGACGTGATGACTTGTTTAGTCTGACCAATGGTACAAAACTATACAGCACATTTACTATGATATAAAAGAGATATAACCAGACCAGCAAACCAGACATTGAAAGCAGAGAAAGTTGCTATTTCAGCTTAAATGACATAAAGGGACAGTTAACCCCAAAATCAAAAATACATATTATTCTTCTTAACTGAAGTGCTATTTATCCATCTAGAGTTCTGGAGTTTTGTCCATCTGCGCAGTGATGTGCAAAGAAAATAGTTCCTACATGAAACTGGGTCATGATTTTGCATGTGCCACCTGGTTCCATTATATTGAGAGAAGGCAGACATCTCCAAAACTCAGCAACTCACACCAAAACTATCTAGATGGATAAATAGCCCTACAGGGAAGAGGAAAAATATTAGTTTTTATTCTGGGGGGAACTGTCCTTTTGAACAATTAATTGATTAATTTATCATTTTCATCACCACATCAAATACAACACCAAAAACTACAGCCTCAAAAACAACCAGTTGAATTAATGCTTCTCTGACAAATCCTCAATAACAATAACAGATGAGGTCAGATTACACTAAAATTTACTTTTTAAAAGCTATTCCAAACAGAAAATTGTGTTGAAGAAAAGCAAAATTGGTCACATTGAGTCTTTCTATAATAATACTGAAACTAAACTTGATTCTGTCAACAATCCGTAAACAGAACCTCAACAAATGAGCACTAAGTTGAGTGAACATCAGTCTCAATCTAATTGGTTTTTTTGGTTTTTTTTGTCCACTCCCAGTCTGAACTATACACACACATACTCCCACACACACGTTTAAACCGGAGTAATTCCCTAAAAGGTCCAGTGTGAGTCCTTTAGTGGAGGAGCAGGAACCGTGGGGGTGGTGATCAATGCTTTGACAAAAGCCAAGAAAAATGTGAAGAAGTACATTAGAAATGGATCCGTGTAAAGTGAAAAATGAAGTAAGGATTCAGTTCCAGATGCCCTGCAGACTTTCTGAATGTACCATCGATTTTTCTGTGTGTCTTCATTCATGTTGCATAGGTGGGAACAGCTTTACTTGAATTTCGATAAATCAGTGAAATGACATAATGATGAAGGTATTTTTCATGACAGACTTGTCAGTATGTCAAATTTGTTTAGGTTGTGCCATATAGAGATATTGAGAGTATTGGAACGCACTAGGATTGAGCGAATACTTGGCTGAAACAAATCCATTACACATTATGGGCTTTTTACGAGTATCATGAGTAAAATATAATTTTTTTTCAATATGTGTCAGTTTACGAGTACAGAAGCAGTAAATATAACAAAAATAGTTTCATGTTTACATTAACAACATCTGGTTAGTCTAGACCACTTCTGGTTTAAGCTCCCACGGCCAATTAAGGACGCTCATATGTCCTAAAAACCAAATTGATTGGTCAGCCCACCATTGAAGAGCGAAACATCTCAACAGTACAACCAACAGCATCTCAACCAGTACAGCAACAGAGTAATACCACACTCACCCCCCTACTGTTTCTCGTTTTAACAGAAATAATCTTTCCATTCACTAATTAATTCCAGTCACATCTTCTTTGCCATTTGCCATTTTTTTGAGCGCTGTTAAGTTGTCAAGTCTTCCTGCCAATATTTCAAATTAAAAGACTGCCAGGAATTCAATGTGAAGCATCTGTGCAGGAAGTGAAAGAGTTTGCATGACGGCAGATTAAAAAAGGAGCAGAGCAGGAAAAAAGGAGGCTTCTTTTATTATCAAATAAAGATTTATTCGTTCTTTTATTTACTGGATGTTTGAACACTGGCAAACTGAAAACACCCAAAAGTGTTTTTTTCTTCCAGATCACTATTCATTTAGATGAGTATGAAATTATCATATATATCAAATATATTTTATGACACACAGAAGTTGATAATGTTTAGCTTAAATTTCCATTTCAAACTAATACTGTGGATTTGTGACACAATCTCTTTATTGAAGAATATATGCAGCAAGTGTACGTATATTCAGATAGAAACAAATGAAACAGAGTAGATAAAGCAAGCTGTGACTGTGATGATGATGTGACAGGAGGAGAGTGGAGGCTGAAGTATGAACGAGCCATCAGGGAGATTGAATTCACCAAGAAGAGACTGCAGCAGGAGTTTGATGACAAGCTGGAGGTGGAGCAGCAGAACAAACGGCAGTTGGAGAGGAGGGTGAGTGGACACACTGATACACAACTTCCATTAAGAGTCTATTACTTTGTGTTCCATCTCTATATAATGGCTACCATGAAGCCTGACTTTCTGTATATTGTAGAATTCAGTGATTTTTGTCTTTATATATTACAAGTAAGTTTAAAGCTTCTAAAAGGTGTGTTGATTGTGGCGGCCCCTGAGGACAAAAGTGGTAGTGTTTCTGCCACCTTGCTTACTGTAATTGATTTCAAGGAGAATCTGACCAAATGTTCTCGCTTTCTCGTTTGTTTATGTCGTTCATATATAGAGGCATCAGTATTAAAGTCAGACTGTTTCACAACCACTTAAAAACTCCTTGTAGTAGGTTTAAGTATTGAAGCATTGAATCAAATTCTATTTGGTGTCTATGGTACAATATAAACCTCTACCCAAATTAGACACTTCCATGCTGAATACTATTTGCTTGTTCTCTTACATTTAAATACTTGCAAATATTTAAATTCACAAACCAGTTCATAAGTACAAAACTGAAGCCTACATCAAGTCAAAAACAAGTTTAACCATGATTACAGACCTAGTAAGGGGCTGATCACACAGAGATGCATCACTAGATGCATGGCCTCTTCAAAAAAGCCTTGGCAAAGAGCGTCGGGGGGGAAAAACAGCTGGTGCGCTGGTGGAGCGAGGTAGCCTGCACAACCGGGCAATCAAATATGATTAACAGAAAATCTGTATTGAAGCAGACGTCAAGCTCTAGATGAGTAAACTCTAGCCTCATTTGAAAGAGGTTGATAACTGTGGTTACTTACGCCCCTGCTCTGTAGCTCTCTCACAGGCAAACAGCTAGCTAACTAGCAGGCTATCTACCTAACCTATTTACTGACATAGTAAACAGCATCAAAACAGGAAGGTCTGGGCCAAGTGTGACATTGACGAGTGGTGCAACTCCCCACCTTATGCTGATAAGTTGAAAATATTTAAACTTTTATGTGTGTCTAAAAACCGCTAGAAAGCCGCTACATACGCCAAATTATAATTCAAACCTATTTTCTGTTCTAATGTGACTGCAGTGTTTATAGCTTCCGAGTCATCAGACGTTGTTTCTCCACGTTGAAAACATGTCTTCTCCAGTCATGATTGATTTGGATGCGTTTGTTTTCGCAGATCACCGACCTGCAGGCTGATAACGAGGAGTCCCAGCGAAACATCCAGCAGCTGAAAAAGAAAACCCAACGGCTGACGTCCGAACTGCAGGACACCAAACTTCACCTGGAGGGCCAACAGAGCCGCAACCACGACCTGGAGAAGAAGCAGAGGAGGTCAGTACACACACACAGTCCTGTTTGAGCAGGGGACACACAGTTGTGTTACCTTATTCTGCTGGGTCTAGTGGTGTTGCTGTAGTAACAATGATAGCTGTAAAGAAGAAACTATATTGTGTTTCAGATTGTTTATAGCATCACGCTGTGCAGAGAGGACAGACAAGTCTCCAGCTCATTTGTTCAGCTGCTAAAATGTGTGTGTGTGTGTGTGTGTGTGTGTGTGTCTGTGTGTGTGTGTGTGTGTGTGTCTGTGTGTGTGTGTGTGTGTGTGTGTGTCTGTGTTTTAGCAAGGGAGGTACTCTGTAGCTGTACATGGGTTGCTGAATGTGTATGCTGTGGTTAAAACAGAGGTGATATATAAGATCTTTGTGAGCAGCTCAGCACATTTTAAATGATCCGATTTTTTTAATGAACTTTGGCCCTGTGAATTTTGCTTCTCAATGACATAGCAGGAGCAGTAGTTGTGCTTCATTGGAGTGTTTTTACAGTGTTAATATGCCGTGTGTGTAAATATGCATGTCTGTTTGCATGCAGGTTTGACAGTGAGCTGAGTGCGGCCCAGGAGGAGGTGCAGAGGGAGAGGACCCTGAGGGAGAAACTGGCCCGAGAGAAAGACATGCTGACCGGAGACGCTTTCAGCCTCCGACAGCAGTTGGAGGTGCGTTCCTGTGTGCACTTTGTGTTTCAAAACTCTGAGACTTCCTTTGTGTAATTACATACATGCTGTAGCCCCCAAATTATGTTACAGCCCCCAATGGCTCATAATTACACAAACAGGAGTTGCCAACAAACAAGTTTTATTTTCAAACAATGAAAAGATGAAAAATACCAGAATGAAAACTGAATTACTGCTCCCATCAGAAAAAAACAGAAACCACAAAACAATGTGAAGTCTCCTTCAGTTGGACAGTGACACAAGCTATATAGTCAGGCTGGAAGTGGAACAGAGAGAGAGCCAAAGTCTCTGCCCCCTATTTATTTGGTTTCTTAGATGAGGAGCTCAACCAGACCTGAGAGGAAGTGGCCCTCCTATGATATGATTATCAAACCATGTTAACCTTCATATTTCTGAATCTCTGAATGTTTCTGTGCTACAAACTGCCTGTGGTGCTGCATGATATGGTAAAGAATCATATTTCTATTATTTTGACAAATATGATTCACGATTAGTGGGAATGATTTTTGCATCACATTTTTCATTTTCACTGAAAAAACCTGTACAAATCATGATGCTGTGACATTTGTTGGGGTCTGTACCAAACAAACATGTTTTTTTACATCTTAAAAATCAGAATGTGAAACAAACAGATAAAATACAAAAATGAACTCTTATTTTATTTTATGAAGATAGCACCTTTTAAACTAATTAAATAAAAGTGCTTTACAAGCGATTGACAAAACAGACAAAAAGGATTAAGAGACGAATGCATGCCAAAACAACATAAAGAGAAGCCTAATTAAATAGAGACTAAGACTATTCAAAAATAAAAGCTGAGTAGTTAAGATAATAAAATATAGCTATAAAAGCAATAAAAAATAGAATTATTAAATACGACTTGATTATAATAAAACCTTATGTATAAAGAAAACAGAATACAAAGCATGTAGAGGTTCCTAAATGGAATAGAAACAGAATATGACCTAAAGCTGTGTTCGCAATGATGTTTAATTTTATTATTTTTCATGACCATTTTTATGTTATTTTTGTCTACCTCATGTTAATAAGTTACATTAAGTGAACTATTCCAAGATGTTTTTGGCTGCACCATTTCAGCAATTAAAAAAACAATTTTATCCATATCCTCCTGTAATTTAACATCTCTTATTTGGTCTGTGGTAACTTGTGGATCTTGATTGCATCTGTATTACAGCTCAGCAGGTTTGCACTTTGCATGTCCACACAGCATGAGTTTGTAATTATGTTGTTTGCAATTCTGTTTTTCTGTGTGTGTTCACCTGTTAACTACCTGCTGAGCTCAGTAAATAATTCTTCAGCCTTCCCTCAACACATGTATGTCTGTGTTCGATGTTCACACTGTAACCGTGTGACCGTCCCCTCCTCCCCGACTCACTGTTACCATCTGTCCTGCAGGACAAGGACCTGGAGGTGTGCGCGGTCAACCTGAAGCTGGACCAGCTGGAGGCTGAGCTGCAGGACCTCAACTCCCAGGAATCCAAGGACGAGGCATCACTGGCCAAGGTCTTCTTACATTTCTTTCTCTGTGGTTCTTCTTTATGTTTGATTGTGTTTTTTTGCTTGGTTTTGCATTTTTGCTCTTAAGGTTTCATGCTGAAACTGTACTGTATTCAGGTGAGGAAGCAGCTACGCGACATGGAGGCCAAGGTGAAGGACCAGGAAGAGGAGCTGGATGAGCAGGCTGGAACCATTCAGATGTTGGAGCAGGTACAGACAAAGCACAGTGCTCCATCACAGGAATCAACACAATCTTAAAGCCGCATTTCTTTTCTTTTTTTACTCACTGGGGGGCACTTGAACACAAAAATAAGCTGACCAACAAAGGCGTATTATTTATAGTTTATTGACCAATAAAAACACTGAATTATTTTGCTGTTACAATAAAACGTCAATACTTAATAGGCCACAAAATTGAAAATAACCAGTAAGAGTTTCAGATTTAGCAATTATCTAAGCTTAAAGCTAATATTTCATATCACAAATCTAAACTCTGCTTTCATTTAGTCTGCACATGTAGGAGATTGGTGATCTCCTATATCTCTCAGTCCCTTGTCTGACGACCTGTGAGCTCCTCCCTGAGGGCGGGGGGGTAAGCCAGTCACTGAAGTTGGTCTTGAAGTTGGCAGCTTTCTGGTGAAGCCCAGACACAGTTGCGTGTGTGTCTCTGCCAGAGTACACAGTACCTCTGGCCAAGTATGATTTTACAGCACATTTTTGCATACTTTCCAGCCTTTTAGCCTGGTCTAGTCAGGGAACTGCATACTCCATGTAGCCAGTGAAGATGGAAACCAGTTCAGGTTCTCCAACACAAAATTTCTTCAGCGTAAAACCCTTCCTATTGGCTGAGGTCAGCCTGTGGTCCACCTTTGCAAGTTATCACTTTAAAAACTTATTGTGGCTAAAAAGTAAGCAAGTAGTTGCCTATATACACATCCAGACAACATTAGCATTGATTTGGAGTGGTGTTTGTGTCTACCTGATGAATGTAAGTTCAATATTCAGTAACTCTGAGCTACGGCAACTCTCTCATGAGCTGCTAAATGCTCCATTACGTTCATCTCTAACTGTCTGTCTGTTGTTTGCTGCTGCAGGTAGTGAGTTCACACTGCCATTTAAATGTGTTTTAAAACCAAAGCAATGAGCTAAAAGAGGCTAAAGGGAACTGCAAAACTTCTCGTCCTTGTGTCAGTTTTTAACTTAACTCTATCCACCTAACTCCCTATGGCCTCTATTCAATACCATACTGACACACAGTGTTCTCGGTGCAGTATTTTCACACACAGACACTAACAAAATGTCCTGTTAGAGCTGGGATTGTAGCTATTACACCACTGTGCTGGATGTGATAGGTGTGTGTAATGAATATTTAGTTTGTACTTGTTTACTCGAGTTTGACTCAGTATTATTGCCCTTCCAAGCTCTTGCCAAACAAAAAAACGAAACAATATTATAGCCCCGTGTTAGTTGACATAGACTCTGTTGATACAAGATGGAGGAATGTCTCCTTTAAAAATGACTAATATTACACTGATACCATAAGCTCATACACTAGGAAGAAGGCTACTATAGGCTTAGGCAGTTATGATATGATATAGTGGGATACTACTACTGCTACTGTTACTGTATACTACTAATAGTACTTATTTTCATTTGATAGGCACAAATTCAGTTTACATAGAACATTTCTTTACAATTATCCATTTATATCCACAGCTGATTTCCAATGCCCTTCAACACATACACATACCTAGACTACTGTTTGAAATGATTTGGGGAAATGCACTCTGTTGTCTTTCTGACAGTTAGATGAGCTGATCGATATCATTCTCATATTAGCAGAGCTGATTTTAGGATGTAGGTAGCCTAGCTTAGCATAATCCTCTCACTTGTTGCAGGAATGTGTATACTTTTGTAAAGCTAACTGATAATATTAATGCTACTTTCTAACTTCATGCTGCCTGCTTTGTGAGATATTTATAAAAGTGCTGTGTTTCTGTCACACAGCATCATGTGTAGACCTCATTGTCAAAATTTCACATAAATTATATTGCTGTGAAAGCCTTACTTCCTGTTTCCAGTTAGTGGCGCTATTTTGTCAGTGATAATAATAATACACAATGTGAAGTTTGGTGGAGATTGGACAACACTTCCTCTTTCGTGGCGAAACATTGAAATGAATAGCCAAGCCACGTACACGCTGTTCTGTGCACTGTCACAAATAGCTGTGATGGTCTTTAGACTGCACTGATCAGTCTTGAGTCGCTCTGCCCACTAAATTCAAAATGGCCTGTTGGGTTTGGGGTATGGGTCCCAAGAGGCTTTTTTGTTCGTCTTGTCATGATCCACGTTTTCATGTATATGGGTGCTGCAGTTTAGGGAGATGCTGTTGGGCCGCGTTTCACAAGTTTTTAAACATGTTGCGGCTGTCAAAAATGCTGAAAAATATTAATAATTCCTTTGTATTTTAATAGCTTGGGGCCTAATGAGGTTTAAAATCATTGAAGTGTTCCCTTAAGCCCGGATGAGAGCAGAGTGTACAATGTGGTTCTTTTTTTCAGGCAAAGCTGCGTCTGGAGATGGAGATGGAGCGTTTGCGTCAGACCCATTCCAAGGAGGTCGAGAGCAAAGATGACGAGGTGGAGGACATCAGACAGTCCTGCAGTAAGAAGGTATGGAGGTTCAACACATGTACCCGCACACATTATAATACTGCTGTTAAAGTCTACTCTCGCTTTAGCTTTTTGCTTTACAGTTGTGATTAAACGTGTGAGAGAAGCAGGGCTAAAATGTGTGGAAGGTAAAGACTAGCCACAGAAAGAGTGACAGGAAAAGAAAGAACAAAAGACAAATGAGACAATGAAAACACTTTGGTGACAACAGCAGAAAATAGAATACTGTAATAAATAAAATATAAATAAAATGCTGTATACAGTATAAAGTGACTTTACAAGAGGTCTCTGTTCAGCACCACAACACATAACAAAAGAGCAGCAGTCAGACCAATTTTGTGGCCCTTATGGTTATTAAGTAGTCACTGGAGCCTGTAACCCCAACATCCGAGGGACCTTTATTTGAAATACAGTAGGTTTATATTAGAGACAGGCAATAACAATAATAATATCTAATAACCTCTGTTTTGTAAATGATGATATTCACTGATTGATTTCCATCTTTACCTGTTGTCTTGGTAAATTCAGCATAACTTCCATTTCCACAGCACCAATTCCATCAATCTGACAAGGGAGTTAGGTCACACTGACTGCTCTGCTGCTCTTGCTTTCTACTCTCTTACAGAAATCCAGTTTTTATTCACATATAACGTAGTGTTTTCCACCAACACTTCTGCGCAGATACTTCACATTAAAAGCCTTCCGGCAGCTTAAATGACCTTTTCCTCTAGGCCTTTAATTTGAAACGTACAGGAAAATGAACTGACTGTAGCTCAACCCCGATTGCAAAAAACAAAACAAAAGAGAAGGATTGGAAATAATTAGTGACTTAAAACAGAACTTGTGTTAAAAAGAGGTTTAAATGACACAAGGTATGTCAATTAATGTTATGCTGAATTTACAGTGAGCCATTATAGTGCAAATAACCCAACCCCTGCATTTCTTAGCGACCAATCTTTATTTGTTTGTGGTTTTATTTAAGAATGTATGGTATTTGTGGTAGGTTTAGTAACTAACTACTATACTTACTGTAGTATTGTTTCTCCTAAAAATGTATCTTTTCTTATTTGTTAATATATCAGCATAATGGCTCCTATTGGCGGCTTTACTGCCATATGATATCAGTATGGTGGAGGAGTGTTTGTGTGGGTGGCAGAGCGAGTGAGTGTGTGCTTTGCTGTTGTAATCTGGGTGCATCTTTAGCGTTGTTGCTATTAGCTGCTGTTTTTTTATATTTGTTTTGCTCTACAAGCGCTGACCGCCCCATCAGTGGCCTCCTCATTAGCCCACGCATAATTAGCTTTTTCTACACTTACACAAGCTGGGAGCACTGTGTCTGCACTGTGACATTTACATAGTGATGAATTATATGATGATAGATTCTGCTAATACATAACTGAAGGAAACAGCCTTATATACACTGCACAATCAGCCTGCTCATTTTTATACATCCAATGTATTTGAAAATACAAGTTCTTGTTAACTGGACAGTGTTAGAATTGATTGAGGATGCTGATGTCAGTCGAATGCAGCAAGATGTCTCCACAGCTACTGACTGCGTTGCCTTGGAAATTGTCATAGATCATTTTTATTTAATATATATATCTGCTTGGGAACCAGAATCTGCAGAGGCCATGATATTTAATTGGCTCTGGCAGATGGGCCCGGCCACCCTTCCATACAAACTAAATTCTACCTGTCCTGGATGCCGTCAGGCCAATCACAACCCTTTCAGCCTCTTTAGAAAGTCCCCCTACTTCTGACTTGATATATTAGCGCGGTAAACAGTTTCCTAATAAATTTATAGTCTCAATCTCTAGTTTCAGTTCAGTTCAGTCTTCCATACAGCATGATGTTCATTTAGTAAATAATGGTCCCATTTAGAGTAAAATAGATGATAAAGCAGGGTATGCTTTAGGGCGTGAATACTTTATGATTGACAGGTCATTCTCAGTGAGTCTGTCCAGCTCAACGCATCAAACTCAGATATACTGTCAAACTAGGCGGTGCTGATCAAATATATATCAAGATTCTGTCACTGTGGTGACTATTTCTCAACTAAAATCTTTTCACAAACATATTTTAGTGTACTGTTTATCTGTAATTTGAGAAAATGTGTGATCATAGCTTATCCAATTGCATCTAGAGAAATTTTGGTCTGCACCAGTTAATATCGCTCCTTGGAAATCAAAAATGAACTGAGAAGTTCCAGACTAATTTGCATTTGCGAATTAGTCTGGCGATGCCAGGCTGGATAGTTCTGGTCTCATTAAGATGATCACTAAAGATTTTGATGCCCCCCTTCGCCAAATCTTTTTTTTCTCAAACATGGTATCTCAAAAATGAAAATAACTGGATATTTATTGTCCTCAAACGATGAGGATCCTGACAAACTATCAGCCCAGTATCAAAGCCCATTTGATTTTAATATTAAATAGACTAAGCTCATTTATGAGTCTGAACCCTCTCCCTTGTCAACACTACACACAAGACAGTTTATAATCCTGTTGGCATGAAACTCAGTTAACATTCATTCATGACCCCTCTGTAGTCTTTTTTAATGAAATCAACAGTGCAGCCTTTAGGGACACTAACAGGACTTTCAAGGGCATTAGACTTGTTATTTAAACATTTAGAAGTCTATACTGTGGCCTGATAGCTCACCTGGTAGAAGTGGTGCCCCATGTACCAAGGCTGAGTCCTTGCTGCTGCAGCCATGGTTTCAGGTCTGAACCATGGCCCTTTGCTGCATGTCATCCCCGCTCTCCCACTTTCCAATCTATGTTGAGCTGTTCTCTCAATAAAGGTAAAAAGGCCCAAAAATAGATTTAACAAAAACAACAAAGGTCTAACCTGTATATTGATTATTGTCATTGGCCATATGTTCACTACTTTTTCTACTCCTGTGTAATAAGAACTATGAATGTACTCATTTCTATGGATGTTTGTGTGTGTTTGTCCAGCTGAAGCAAATGGAAGTCCAGCTCGAAGAAGAGTACGATGAGAAGCAGAAGGTGCTGAAAGAGAAGAGAGAGCTGGAGTCGAAGCTTCTGTCAGCACAGGACAAGGTAACTACTCTGCACATGCACCTAGAACGGGATGTGAGATGGATCATTTAAAAAACACCTTGCTGTGATTTCCTTTCAAATAGTAAAGTCAAAGGTTAGTTGGTCACTCCAGTAAAGTTTGAATGTTATTAGGTTTTGACCAAATAGTTAATCCCTGATATATCAGTTGAGACACCAAACCTCCCTGTACCTGTTTCCCAGGTGAGAAGTGGTGACATTGAGACTGAGAAGCGTTTGAGGAAGGACCTGAAGAGAACCAAGGCTCTGCTGGCTGATGCCCAAATCATGTTGGACCATATAAAGAACAACGCACCCAGCAAGAGGGAGATCGCCCAGCTCAAGAACCAGGTATGGCTATGGACATCATCGCATGTACACTTACTGCAGCAGGTACAAAGAACAGCTACAATATAAAGTCAATAAAAACAATGAATTGGTAATGTAGGGCAGTCCCAACCCATAAAGAGACTTGTAAACCAGTAACAGAACATTAAAATCAATCCTAAAAGATCTAACTAAAGTTGGACTGATATGTTCTCTATTTCTTGTTCTAGATAATTAACTAAGAATTAACTGTAATTTATTAATGGAATGTTTTTGAAGACAGGTAAAAAGAGTGTTACAGTAGTCTTATCTACTTGAAATAAACACATGAATGAGTTTTTCAGCATCTTGTTGGGATAGGAATGGCCGTACTTATGTGGGATTTCAAATGTGTCTAATATTTTTGTTTGTGGACCAACTAATAACATTTTCACCATGTTATTTAACAACGTTGGACTGCATCCACTAGTTTATTGCAGCCAAATTAGTTGGTAAATGGCATAGGCTTTGGTCATTCTCAGTGTTGGGCAAGTTACTTTTAAAAAGTAATTAGTTACAGTTACTAGTTACTTCTTCCAAAAAGTAACTAAATTAGTTACTCAGTTACAAATTATAAAAGTAACTAGTTACTTCAGAAAGTAACTATTGTGTTACTTTCAAGTAAATTTTCAAAGCTCAAATGTGAGCCCACCTCCACCCCTCTTTAACGGAACTTAAAATACATGTGCATGTTCAATTATTTATGATAAATCTGAATATTATAATGAAATGGACACTTAATACAATCCATTATTAACAGAAACAATGTACACAAATCTAAACTATTTTAATGTTGCTGTGGGACAAAGTGAGACTAGCCTCCAATCAAATGCCATGTATGTAGATATTATGTTCATATAGTGGATCCATACAAATAACACAATAGATGTTTTGGAACTTTTGATATTTATGGGCCCTCAACAGGCCACAACTGGGCAAAATTCAATTATGCTTGTTAAGCACTATACCAAAAATAAATAACAAATATATACACTCTTTGTAGTGCAAATAAAACAAAAAAAACTTCAGACAATTGGTAGATATACTGTACTTCAAGTATTTTCTTCCTCGAAAAAGTAGAACAGTGTAACAATGCGAGGTGCTTTCAATCTAACTGAAAAGTACAATGTATAGCAAAACTAAGGAATCCAAATATAAACAGGTAATACATAAGAAATAAAAAATACATCTCCATAAAAATAAATCTCTTTCTCTGGCCATTGACGATCTCACTTCAAGAGGCTGCAGCCAGCCAACAAATAAATCTAAATTAAATGATGCTCTTTAAGCAATGTACCAAAAATGTATTCAAACAATATATACACTCTTTTTAGTGCAAATGTAATAAGATACAACACAACTGGCCATACCTGTCTCTCGTTGACTGACTCTCTTGTGTTGTTCGTTGTTAGTCCGACTATGCGTGCTTTCAAACACCCGCCCAACTCTACCTCTGATTGGCTTACCATGAAATTTTACTCAACCTCAGCCAATCGCCAGCATTTATGCGCTTGTCTCGTGCACTGCCCACTAACCAAGGAAGAACAGTAAAAAAAGTATTGCCTCTCGGCTCAGAGATCTAGTTGGTCTGATGACAAAAACAGCTTCAATTATAGTAACGCGCCGCATTTTTTGGCAGTAACGGTAACGGCGTTATTAAGATGGGAAGAGTGATCAATTAGATTACTCGTTACTGGAAAAAGTAACGCCGTTACTTATAACGCCGTTATTCCCATCACTGGTCATTATTAACATTGTGTGTTGAGATTTGACTCCAAGGAATACAAAGATTTGCATAGAACAGTAACGGATGGGACCCCCACTAGGGGTCGCCAAAGCTTCCCGGTGGGTTGCGGGGACTGCTTCATTTTAAAGGATGTAAGACAACTTAAAAATATAGATACAGTAGGCAGCATTTGTGTAAAGAAAAGTGAATGAAATTTTTATTTTTAAAGCTTATATTATTATTTATGATCTAAACCTTGAAGACCTGAACACAAGCTACATTCATCCTGCATTAGAAAATTTCAATAACCAACCAACCAAAGAGCTAGTCGAAAGATGGCCAAGCATCAGGGAGAAGGAAACACTGAATTTGTCAAAAAAGAAGCCCATTAAGTATGTAAGATTTTAAAAACATCATACAAACAGATAATTGTAGAAAATGTTTATAAGAATATAAGGAAAACTCATCTCTGATCAATATTCACAGGAAATAATCTGCTCAAATTTCATCCAAATTGGGTTTTGTACAGTTAATCAGTTGTTCTCTACTGTTATTGTGCATTGAATATTATATGAAATATTCATAAAATATGTCACTGAGTCAGAGGTTGTCATCAGTTTATTCAATGATAGAAAAGGGCTGTCAAGAAGAAAAAGGTTGTGGGAACCAGTGATCTAGAACACATAATATCTATTTCTCTCTCTCTGAAAAAAGCAAAGAACTACTGTTGTATTCAACACTATGGACTGGTACCAGAATCAACTGATACTATGGAACAGTGACTGTACATTTAATTGACCAACATGAAAAAGTACATTAGGTATTAACCCATTAATGTCCACAGTGGCATTTTACAGCACTCACAGTGCTAGCTGAGTAAAACACAAATCCCCTGAAATGTTAGAAATCAGTCATAGCAAATCGGTACAGCGCAAGTTTTTCTTAAGATACTTATTTTTGTCATTCGTCTCAAGGGATTTCAGAGCTTCATAATTTTTGATACACACACATTCTGTACTTTGACCATATGGATTCAAAAAGAAAAATGATAATCTGTTGCTTTTTCTTGATCCAGTATTGACATTGTTCAGACCTTAGATACAGTTTATAATGTATTCCTATGCAGGGCTCCAGAGTGTGACCAAAATTTTTAAGAGTGCGACTAATAATTTCTCTAGGTCGCACTGGTGCACCTGACGCTGCCCGGGTGAAAACATAAATTTATTTTGCAAGCGCATCATCTCTCTGTGTTCTCCTGTGACCGAACTCACACACTCATGGTAGGATCATATCGTGTTCTAAACCAATAAGAGACAGAGCTCGGGCGGGTCTTTGCCTCTGATTGGCTGTGGTCCTGTTCACCGCGCTAAATTGCATGTGTTTAAAAATTGCCGAGCCCCGGTCCTTCGGCGACAGCATCAGAAGAGGAGACAACTGAGCCTGGGATAGAGCCCGGCTCCGAGACCCAAATTAAAAAGGCCAAAATATATTCCTTCAGACAGGACTGGCTGAAACAATTTCCCTGGCTGAGGTACAACAAAGGACGTAATGCAATGCACTGCGTGTACTGTCAGCAGTGCGGTCAGAATATGGATGGAAATAGTGCATTCGTGAGCGGGTCAACAACGTTTCGTATCGAACATTTATTTGGAAATGTTTTATTTTGCTTAGTGTTTTAGTTTGAAATGTTCAATTTCAGCTCAGTGAAGCACTTTAAACACTTTTTTTTTCTTTTTATATATAATTGTGCTTCAAATAAAGACAAGCATTTCTCTACACCTTATTCTTGTTTAAAAATCATTCACATTATATGAAAGTTATGGAGAGCGATAAAATGGCGACCTTATGGTGTTAAAGGCGACGCAATGAAAAATTTGGGTGCACCTAAATTTTGTGCTGGTGCACCTAAAAAAAAAAAAAAAAAAAAAAAAATTAGGTGCACCAGTGCAACCAATGCAAAAAGTTAGTCTGGAGCCCTGCTATGGGATAAAAAGAGTGACCCCTAGTGACTAACCATGGGAATGTTACTCAACACTCAACTATCTTTAAGCCTAGAAGATACGAAGTTACTCTTTGACTCTCTGATTTTCTTCTTTGTGTCCATACCAGCTGGAGGAGTCGGAGTTCACCTGCGCAGCGGCAGTTAAAGCTCGTAAGTCCATGGAGGTGGAGATCGAGGACCTGCACGTTCAGATGGAGGACATCTCCAAAACAAAGCAGGCGGTCAGTATAGCTCTCTGGATCCACCTCACAGCCTTTAAAAGTAGCATTTCTAAGTTTGACACAACCACAGGTGGCAGATTTGATCGAGTCATGATGACGTTTCTTGCATTTTGTCAGTGAATAGGAGGAGAACGCCAAAGCTGTTACAACATTTGGAAACGATCGTCAGTTGGTGATAGGTTGTGTTTTTGAAGCTTTTATAAGGATGCACCATCTGTGGTGGTAGCAGGGCAACAGCAGATATGTCAGATCATTGCCTTTAGCCAGAGATAAGAGGTTAGAGGACACACCTGTTCCCTCAGAGCTCATCCTCCGTCCCCCTATTATTCTGTCTGTTCCTCATTTTCTGCTTCTTTCTCCTTATTTTTTAATCCTCTGGGGGAGGACGATTCTTATTTCCCTTCTTTTTTCTTTTTCTTTTTCCCTGTGTCAGCCTCTCCTAATCTTTTTTGACCTTTATATTTTTATGCCCAGTTCCCATGGCAATCTGGTTCCACACGTCGGTAACTGCCATTTTTCCTTCTTCCTTCAACTGATATTCATTTACCCTCAGTCTTACTCTCTGTATCAGCAAAGTTTAATTTCTCTCTGTCTGTTAAAGAGAAATTACAGACTGTTAAAGCTGGTTTACACATTGTGGAAGTCTAAGACGTAGAACCTTGAAAAGCGTGACTACTTATTTTAGAGAGGTGAATATTGTGTCCACAGTGAAGTGAAGGGTAAAGATAATTGAGTTGACACAGCTGCAGGTCAGGAGCAGATAGTAGGGAAAGATGGACGGACGGATGGATGGATGACTTTTGTGTTCCCCTAAGCTTCACTTGTTTTTCATTTTTTCTTTTACCCTCTAAACAGAAAAAGGCAGCAGATTAGGATGCACATGCACACTTCCTGAATATGTTACTGTCATCTCTTTTGCAAGAGTATTCCTGTTTCGTAAAGCTGCAGCATGTCATTTTTATGAATATATTTGTTGTCATATTTGCTGAAACTTTCACTATATCCTGACTGTAGAACATGAGAGAGATAATCTGTGAAGTGCTCCTAATGGATATTTGCAAGAATGACCTACTGCAGCTTTAAATGAACTGAAGACTCTTTGGAATTTCTTAGTTAACTTCAGCACTATGGAGTCTGGAGAGTACCACCAGAATAATTGAACTGCAATGATAATCAATGAATAAATTAAGCAATTACATTCAAATGATGCATTCACTAACTCAAACTGAGGATAGACAATAAAAAAACTACTACATTTGCCAACCACTGTTAGGAAAATCTTGTTCGACTGAAATTCTAACTACTGTTCCACCAATTGTTTGGTTGGTGGGATAAAAACATATTCTAGGTCAACTAAATCTACCATAGTGCTCTCTACCTGCTAGAGTGTTCAATTAATTCCTTCAGTCTGACCATTTCTTTTTACACATAGCTATATAGTTCTGTTCATGGCATGTATATCAAGTAGATTTACATGCAGGAGGATCTTACTGAGGATCACACAGCAACACGGGCTTCCCCTGTGGCTTCAAATGAAGTTTGCACAGTTTTTTTCAACTGTCCCTCAATATTACAACATTAGGGTGCCCGGTTAGCTCAGTGGGTAGAGTTGGCGACCCACAGCGGCCCAGGGTTCGAATCCGACCTGCGGCCCTTTGCTGCGCGTCATCCCCTCTCTCTCTGCCCCCCTTTCCTGTCTGTCTTCAGCTGTCACTATAATAAAGGCCATAAAAGCCCCCCAAAAAAAAAAAAAATATATATATATTACAACATTAGTAGTAGCCACTTAGTAACATGCTAAATCAAAGTTCAGCAGGATAAACAACAAAATGAACACAAAAACAACATAAAACATTGCAAAACTTAAAGCTTCCAAGTTTGAAGCTTGGGTCACAGACAGTCAGCATCGTTATCGATCCATCACTAAGCTTACTCGCCTGTTATTAGCACTGGTTACTCTGAAGCAGTACGTAGTGAAATGCACACACACATTAAAAATAAACTCACACCCACTCAGCTCGTTTTTTTTGACATTGTATCAGTTAGTTTGGAGCTCAGTAAGTTGCTGAAAGCTGCCAGTTTAAGGAGTGAAAACGGGGGTGTTTTGACCTCCTGATTTACAGGTCTTATCGTCAATTAAACTACACCATTAGTAAAACAGAACCACATTAGTTGAGTAAAATATATTTGAATGTTATTTTCCTACATAAGATAAGATGTACCTTTATTGATCAGTGTTATTTCTGACAATATAGCCTTACAATCAAAAATAAAACAGAGCAGGTTTGCATATGTCCCTCCCGTCCTGAAAACATGGCACGTATGCAGTTCAGTGATGACAGGCAGGTTTTTCTGCTCGGAGTTAGTGGTCATTTCTCAAACAATGGGTCTGATTTTTTAATGTTTCCCACAGTTTCATGTAAAAATTAGAAATCTCTAAAAATGTTGTGTGGCTCCATACACAACATAACACTAAGTCAGCGCTATGTAATGATTAGGCAAAAGCTTTTATTGTATTGCAGTCTTAATGTTATTATAGTACAGTAGTATAATATACTACAGTATTCTAATTATGGTTTTATAGTGTAGTCCTAATGTTAGAATAATGTTATATATTACATATACAAAAAATATACAAATTCCTGTTAATATGTTTACTGTAGAAATACTACACACTGAATTACATTACAGACAGCACTTAATCAGCTGAAGGAGCTCAGTAAAGTTGTGTTGTACTCTGATGAGGTTCATGATATCAGTAGCAGAGAATGTTGGTAGAGGGACACACAGCTCATAATTTTTAATTAGCTCCATCTTTTCAGTCTTGTTGCACAAACTGCCGTAAATCACCACCGTAGAGCTGGAGGCTGCTCTGTTTATCAGCACAAGTCGCATCAGTTGCAATGCAACAGTTCTTAAAGGTGCCCTGTGGAGCTTCCTTGTAAACAAACAAAAGTTGTGTTTATATTCAGTGTTACTCACCAAGATGAATTGTGTGTATCCTTGAGGTCTTAACAAATTATATATATATATATGTGTGTGTGTGTGTGTGTGTGTGTGTATATTTCCTCCTTCATAAAACATTGTCAAAGCCAAAGGCCCCCACCCCCCTCAGAAATCAGTGTTTCTTCTTGTTCCGACAGTGTGCTGTTTGAATGATGTATGTGCAGAGTTTGACTCTAGAAGGATGTTTCACATTCCTCTGCTGAAAGTTTTGAAGTCAAACCTGGTCTGTCTATACCATCACCTGTGTGTGTGTGTGTGTGTGTGTGTGTGTGTGTGTGTGTGTGTGTGTGTGTGTGTGTGTGTGTGTGTGTGTGTGTGTGTGTGTGTGTGTGTGTGTGTGTGTGTGTGTGTGTGTGTGTGTGTGTGTGTGTGTGTGTGACGAGACAGAAAAAAACAGGTACTCACTCATCAAAAAAATGCTCCATAGTGCTAAAAACATCAAAACAGTAACAGTTGTTGTCTTTACCACCATTGCTTTCATTGCAGTCAGCTTCTCCTGGTTAGGATTCCTTCAGTGTTCATGGTTCAGAAAGTTTGAACGCTGTTGGACAGACAAAGGACGTCCCGGAGGGGCTGCGAGCCGAGCTGCTGCTAACGTTAGCTCAGCTTGCTCAACTTAAGATCCAGACGTCTGATGACTAAAATCCTTCATCCGGTTCAAATCTAGAGTTAAAAAGCACCAAGATCTAAACAGTGGATGGTAACAATGTGGCTTCAGACTGGATCAACAGTCAATGTATGACAACTTCTGGCAGACAACCTCAACGCTGACGCAGGCACAAAGGGGATATGACTCCATAGACAGGCGACAGGTGAAACGCAGCGTTACCTGAATAAAATGACAGATTTCTCTGAGTTTGAACATTGTTGGAAACATTTGGGATAATGGAAGTACACAACTCAACTACATACAGAGCATAGCTGTAGAGTTTATAGACAGTTTAATGAGGAAATGTTACAGATTATAGCTTTAAGTGATATGCGTCGGCAACTTCCATCCCAATAAAATCAAGCAGCTTGATTTTAACCCATGGAGGACTTCATCTCTGTCATCATTTTGGTTTTGTATCAGGTTGTTTGGAGAAGTTTAGAGATATATTCCAGTATTGTACTAAAAGAAAAGAAAAGGAAATACAGATCTTGCAAAGCAAATGCATCTTAATTGCTCTCACATTGTTGTTGGCGTGTTGACTAGAAGGCTCAAAAGGAATACTGTAGAGAAAAGATGAATGTGTCACCAGCTGTTTGTTTTGAAATGGCGTCTGTGAGGGCGGCCTCTGCAGCACACATGCAACCTGCTGGGAGAGTAAAAGGCTTGGCGAGCTGATGACAGAAATGGTTATTGCATAAATAGAGGGGTTTTTTTAAACAGCCCCAGCCACATCATACACTGCAATTCAGCAAAGATAAAATCATGCAAATAACGTTTCTTTCAGATGGTCCGGCGTTTTTTTGCCACTCTCCCAACAAATCCGTTGCCGTAATTGCAGTATTTTGAGAAAATTGTCTCGCATGTTTTCAACAGCTTTTATTTTTCCACAGAGAGCCATGGCAATCTGAGAGAGGGGAAAAAACAAAGAGGAAAGCCACGTAATTGGGTTGAGATTGCACTGACAGCCTATTGTTAAACGTGCTAAATGAAAGTATGATGCTGCCCACTGTGGCATTTTTTTCAAACGTCCATCACAATGTTTTCCTCTCGCTGCAGAGCTGGAGCTGCTTTCAAAGCTTTTATCAGCCCTCAGTGAGGCCAACGGTGGATCTAAAAAAGGAAAGTGTGATATGTAAATGAATTTGTCCCAGATTCCACATGGATATTTTTAGAAGTGCACCTTGGTACATCTCAGCAGTGGTTGGTATTAATGAAAATAGATAAGGAATAAATAAATCTTACCCTCATAGTCCAAATCCATACTTTGAAGCTGTCCTTTTTTTTTTTTTTGGCCTTTATTTGACAGAGAGAGATAGACAGGAAAGGGGGGCTGAGAGAGGGGATGACATGCAGCAAAGGGCCGCAGGTCGGATTCGAACCCGGGCCGCTGTGTAAGTGGGTCGCCAGCTCTGCCGACTGAGCTAACTGGGTGCCCCTGAAGCTGTCTTTTGATTCGGTGGGTTGGTTCCCGTTTGGACTGTTTTTTAAGACTATGGATGTGGCAGTGTCAGCTCTGCCTGTTCCCAACTCCTCTCATCTACTGCGTGAATGGATTCATTAGCCTTTACACATAGTCACATTAGTCATCGTTTATTAATCTATGGCCCTGCACCAGCAGCCTCTCTCCCTCTTTTGTACATTATGCCAGTCATTACAGAAATAGGATTACTTGAGCGCAGTCCCTCCTCTCAGATGAAGGTACGAGGCACTCGCTGCTAGCTTTTAGCCGCTAATTGGTTATATCTTGGTTATGGCCGAGACCTTAAATAACCCCTGTTGGGCCCTGTGATCAGAGGGGGGCTGTGTAGGTGCTAATAAGGGCTGTCCTCAAAGGAAAACCTCTGCTGTGCTTAGAGTGGCACACCTACAGGGTCAAAGCGCGACTCCAGACTATGACCATTTAGTCGCATTTTACAACTTTTTATGGAGATGGATGATTTTTCTCTTGATAAAGTAATTATAATAATATTAATATGGTGGGTTAATTCATGTGTAGAATTATGGAGAACCTAATATATATTTTATTAAGGTTTTTTTTTTGGCCTTTTATTGCCTTTATTGATAGTGACAGCCGAAGACAGACAGGAAAGGGGGGCAGAGAGAGAGGGGAGGACACACAGCAGAGGGCTGCAGGTCAGATTCGAACCCGGGCCGCTGCAGCAACTCCGTACATGGGTCGCCAGCTCTCCCGACTGAGCTAACCGGGCGCCCGGAGAACCTAATATTTTAATGATGCAGCAATTGGGAAATTCTGGGCCAGTACTGACCGATGCCAATGCTGATGCTTTTTTGTTGTTATTTATTCGCCCATTTGTGCCAGGGAAACCAACTTCTACAAAAGCATGTCTGCCTTGTTGATATATTAAATACCGAAATCACCAACAACACATTCATATTATTATTGTGCTGCTGATCAGTCAGTTTGCTAATACACGCATAATTAACATATTTGCTGTGACTTTAAAGTGTCACGGCTGAGTTTATTCTGAGCTGGTGTTCTTGGTAAATTCTATTGAGAGAAGGCCTTGTATTGTTATTAATGCATATGGCTTCTCACATTTAATGCTTTATCACTCTCAAGAGTATCTTCTTTATAGTGGTGTATTCTGCTTCAACTTGTTCATTGATAATAATAAATATATGTTACTTTTCACAATCATCGACATATGACCAATATTCTCATGTCTGGAAAAAATTTCATGAAAAAAAACCCAAAAACCTTTGAGTATATATTCTGCCTCAAAAATCATTATCACGCTACAGTACGAAAGCGAAATATTTAGAGAGCTTGACCCTGTGTGAAGAACAGATCCTGTTTGTGGGATTTAGTGTTTTTTCCTTTCTGTAAACAAAGATATTTTGGTGGGAGAAGCCGCTTGCCATCCTGTTTCTAATTTTGTCTGACATTGTGACAACACAGCTTGGTTGATCTGCTCACAAATGTCTTCCGTTTGCATTCTGTCCGGCAGCTGGAGGAGCAGCTGAGTCGTCTGCAGAGAGAGAAGAATGATCTGCAGTCCAGGATGGAGGAGGATCAGGAGGACCTCAACGAGCTGATGAAGAAACACAAGGCTGCTGTGGCCCAGGTCTCTGTTTCACACACACTGTACACATATTGTATATGGAGTCTTGAGTGTGCCCAAATAGATATATCACGTTTGCATAATTATATAACTCTTCATTTCCTTATGCAGCTTTATTCTATAACGTATTCATTCATTATGTGATTTTAAGGTGAAATTATAGAAATTATTCATTTGTTAAATCCTTTTAAAGCTTTTAAATGTAACTTTTTATTTTACTTTCTAATGTGTCAGCCTCTTGTATTCCATCTCACAACTAATTTGTTTCCTACATTGATATACTGTGATCGCTTTTATATATAGACCTAAAAATTAAAGGTTCTGTGTGTGGGATTTAGTGCCATCTAGCGCTGTAATTGCAGATCAAAACTCACACACGTCACCCTCCCCTTCCAAGGGCGAAGGGAAAGACTGCAGTGGCCACAATTGTGCGCAAAAGTGGCGAAAAAAGTGTTTGGATTGTCCCTTCTGGGCTACTGTAAAAACATGGCGTTTAAACATTGATGACAAACTGTAGATAAAAATGGCTCATTCTGAGGTTGCAAAAACAAAATTTTTATTTTCAGGTGATACACAAATGAAAACATAGTTATGAATATTATATTCCATTTCTTTAACATACAGCATGTTTTTGAGATTCGGGGGGGTGTGGACCTCCTCTGCAACCTCCTGCACTCCTCTCTGTGTAGGTCCGTAGAGACTTTCTCTTTAGAGATCCAGCATGAGGTCTCCTAATCTCTTTATATTGTGCAAAAGGCATCTTACAATTCCAAACTCTTCACAGCCAACAGTTGATTTCTATACTTATATGTCTGTCTTTTCTTCCAGGCTGTTCTGTACCAGATAATATCAATATCATATATATTAAATAGGTAATTTGATGATTGATGATTTATTTTTGTCTGGAGGACAGAATTACTAAATTTTCTCTGGAAAAAGACAAATAACTGCCATTCCAATGAACATTATAGACTGAGACCAGGATCAGTAGTGTAATGAAGTAACTGTACATATCATTTACCAACTAAAAATGTAGATTTAGTGTGAAGTCTTTTAATGCTAACTAGTGCAGTGCCCGTAGGAAGTATTGGCGCTATAGAAAAGTGGGAGGTTAAGTAGCTTTTTCATGGATGGCCAAATGAGGTTGTGTTTGAAGGTGTAGCAGCTAGCTCCTCAGACCGGAACAGACTCGGTCCGGACTCGTTCAGTCTCAGTAATCCACAATAGTCAGTTTTGATGCACAGAACGAGACCGAACAGCAGGCAAAACCTGCTGCAGGTGTCGTGGGGGTGGGCTCTGCAGTGATTGGCTCTGCAGTGATTGGCTCTGCAGTGATTGGCTCTGCAGTGATTGGCTCTGCAGTGATTGGCTCTGCAGTGATTGGCTCTGCAGTGATTGGCTCTGCAATGATTGGCTCTGGTGCGCACGTGGCTATGGTGGCTATGGTTGACAATGCTAGCGGAATTCGTAAATCATTTATGAAATAATTTATTAACGGTATCTTTGTAGTCCAAACGAAACGGAAAGTAATTTCCCCACTGGGATTATTAAAGTATTTCTGATTCTGATTCTGATTCAAACAAAGCCGACGTTGCACACCCTTAAACCACATAGCAGCCATGTTGAAACTCTCAGGTCAGTCTGATCCTGATCTGCAGAGATATTTGAGGCACACAGACACACACACAGACAGACAGAGATTTCTTGCTTTTATAGAGAGATTAAATCATCCATAATACATTTGAATAGATTAAGCTAAATTCTTGATTCAATTCAATTTTTAATAATGCAGTATATAACTATTACAATTTGGGGGCGCCTTGGCAGCTCAGCATGTACCAAGGCTGAGTCTGGGTTCGAGTCCAGCTCTGGCTCTTTGCTGCATGTCAGTCCTTCTCTACCTTCTGCCTTTCCTTTCTCTCTCTGCCATCACTGTCAATAAGTGAAAGGCTTTAGGACAGCCAGATGAATTAATTATTATTACGGTGTCATACTTGAGACTGCATACACAAAAGCTTCTGATTGGTAATATTTTGTCATTATTCTGTGTTTTATAATTTGATGTCTCAGAAGAAAAAAAAAAGATACAAACAAACAATAATACAAGGTGTTTGGAGGGTCTTAAAATGTCTAAAATCCAATAATATGAATTTTAGGCCTTGAAATATCTTAAAATGTCTCAAAAATGTATTATTGAACTTAACATTACTCATATAAAGTAAAATGTTTCGGTCAGTCTTTTAAATGTGTCTTTGGGAAAAATGTGTTTTGGTCATACCGTAACAACTGCAAAACAAAATCAACATGATACCAAGACCGATTTTCTATCATATACTTAGTTTTTTAAATTACATTCATATTGTTCTTAAAAAGGTCTTTAAAAAGTCTGACATTAAACCTGTTGTAACCTGCGGAAAAGTATTCATGAGCTCTAACAAACATGTTGAATGTATTTCTTTCCTCATAAATCCTAGGCAGAGCTGATTTATTGAGTATTATACATTCTACAGTGTTTACATCCATGTTCACTTGTTGTTGGCAACATATCTTGATATTTTACTGACACTTGTATATCACTGGAACTGTGTGAATCCATTGGTCAGGCTGTGTGTCCCATCACCCAAGCATTTTAAACTAAACCCATTTATAGAAAAACAGCTCACAGTGCTACTAGAGGTCAAACATTTCTTAGAGAACCTTTAAGGGATTCCCTTCCCTAACCAGTCCAGTACTGATCAAATATACAACAAATACTGTAAAACTGAATCTAATAATAAATATTTAACCAATATATCAGCAAGCTGATGTATCAACCTTGCTACAACACACATACATAGCCTATGCATGTTCCTCATATGTCATGTGTGCCACCACATGATGTCAAAAAGCAAGTTAATCTGTAAAAGGTAAAAATCCCTGCACAGAGCTTTACATTGAATTGTTTTAACACCGTCCATCCCCGCCAATTGAGTCATATTTGAAAAGCCCCCTCCCATTAGTAATAATGTAGCTGTATATGCAGATGAGCAGCAAGTGGAAATGAAAGTGGAATAAAAGCGCTTCTTTTCCACCGCTGATGGAATGATGAGTGATCTGCCTCCACCGGCTCCAAATGAATCCATCCTTCTTTTCTAAATTGAGGCAGCTGAATTCCCGGTGGGACTCCCTGTAGCAGAGTGCTTCATCTACTGTGGAAATAAAAGCACTCGTCTCAAATATTTCACACAGGTCACATTGAAATGAGATTTATTGATATACTTTCCCTACACTGAAAAAATCTTTCCAGCAGATTTATTTGTCTAGGTAATCTCACTGTGATGTCATCATGTTTTACTGGATCTACTTGGTATTAATCTACTGATTTAGATGTAGCTTTTTGGATTTTATCTATACAGGTATGTATAGTCTGCCTACTGTATAACGCATATAATGATGTATTGACGATGTACTTACTTCAAAATGAAATCCTTATTCATTCTTCCATCAGATGGGATAAAAGAAAACAATGTCTAATATCCATCAACAGTTGAATGTTGCTCACTGACTTCACTTCTTTCCTGCATTTGTGTGTTTTCAGTCGGCCCAGAACCTGGCTCAGATCAGTGACCTACAAGCCCAGCTGGAGGAGGCCCTCAAGGAGAAACAGGAGGTTCAGGAAAAGGTAGACATTGGCTTTATGCTCTTACCATAACACTGATGTGACAAGGACAGCCAGTTAAAATGTGCAGTCTGTCTAAAAGCACAGGCAGGGAGAGATTTATCAGTCCAGATAGGAGGGAACCAATAGGAAAGGGTTAGTAAACTGGAATCCAGCCCTGAAGTAATTTCACATAGGGTTTTAAATTGATGCTTAGCAATTGATCAGAAAACAGCATTTGTTTGTTTACTCTATTAAACTGTGTTGCTAAGTAACTACTGTATGTTCCTAACCAAACTAAACTGACCACCAAAATACCTGCTGTAATATAAAAGAGGGAGATTTGACTGATGTTTGGTTTACAATATTTGGGATGGCAACATTGACGAACTATACATACAAGTACAAACCCTCACGATTCTAGTGCATAGTACATGACAAAAGATTGAGAAATTATAATTGTACTATATCACTTAGACTAATTCTGACCTTTGGATACTTAAAAGTTATAGAAAATTCACTTGTCACTGGATGTCGCACTAGAGCACCAGCAACTCAGACCGGACCCTTATTTTACAGAGTTAGATGTGAAGATGTTCATGAAAAGGGCTGCAATGGCCACAACGTAAGCTAACATTAATCTTTCGGCCAGTCAAAGTACGTCCACTAACATATCTCGTTTTTGCCACAGACAGCAACCAGAAATGGCTGTAATGTCACTATCGATATTCCCCATCAACAGACATTTAAATATTAAAATTAGCCATGTGTTGATAGGTCACAACACGAAAATGTAACCAATGAAATTACTTATTTTGACACACATTTTTAGCCAATAAGTATTAAACTAACAAGGTAATGTGTCAAAAGGCGGACCTTTTTTGTTATTTTCTCAAAAGGAGGACAAATGAGTGTCCGGCTTAAGGCTGCGCCTGCAGCCGGACAGGGCATTTAAAAGTCGGACTGTCCGGCCTAAAGCCAGACGAATGGCCACCCTACCGATGTAGATGATAAAAACAGCAGTTTCAGTCGCTCTACACAGCTTCACACGGAACAGATCGGCTATGTAAACAAACTACAGACAGGCTGCAATAGCAACACAGGCAGGGGGAGTGTGACACTATTTGTACATAGATAATAGTTTTTTGCTATTAATGATTTAAATGTCATATGAATTATCTTAAAAGAGTTACCTTTCGGGATCATGGCTGTAATGATTGTTTTTCAGATTTTGTGACACAAGCAAGAATACCAACCATTTGCTGGTTCCGAACTTGGTTTAGAAATTTTAAACTCATTACCACAGTTTCAGTTTCATATGAAGGCCCTGGTCCTACCCTGACACAGAGAAGTTTCTAGAGTTTCCTCTTCTGCAGTGTCCAGTGACAAATCCCATTTACAAACTTGCATGAATGTGCGGTTCTGCCTCAGCTCATTTCCTTTGCACTGCTCTCTTGACAAATACAACCCTTGATGTAATTGATGTGTCATTCAAGGAGGATTGGCGCTAGCAATATGTGACACAGATGGCCAACTTGGTTTTCCTACTCAGCCAAGCAATAATGCTGAACATGTTAGTGCTGTCATCCTTGTAATGACTGCTGCTGCATGAATCTGTTTCTCCATCAGACACAGCTGTACCAGACAAATCAAACCCAGCCAAGAACAGGGAGAAGTTAGATCAGTATGACAAGGGGTTGTACAAGGGATATGTTGTCATAGTATGACCCAGGTCCTGCAGTATTCCACACAATGATGCCATCTGAAACCTAATTTTAAGGGCATCTGTCATTGATAACTGAGAGTAAGAGACAACCCTACAACTTATCTGAAGCTAGAAAAATATCAACCCCTCCCCCCATATTTGAGAATGTTGTGTACCTGTTCTGATTCAGTAGCAATACCTAACCAACTTCTGATAATACCTTACTTTGAGGAATATCTAGTGTTGTACTTTATACCATTAGCTACATTTCCTCAATGTTTGATTTTGTCTAAAAGGAATTGTTCAATATTTTGGGGAAAAGGTTGATTAACTTTCTTTCCAAGTGAGATGAATCGATTGACACCTTTCATGTCTGTGTGTTAAGCACCCACCCTGAGCTGGAGTAAAGACATGGTTAGCCCAGCTTAGCATTCATACCAGAAGCAGGGGGAAAGAACTACCCTTGGACTGTTTTAAGAAAAGAATACACCTACCTCTAAAATTGACCCTTCCTAAGTCCCGCCCCTTTTTGCTTTATGCTCCAATGACAGTTGAGCAAACCACGGTCACCTTCCTCTATTCCTTTACTTAAATATGCTATGTGCTAGGCTTATCTATGCTGAAAAGACAACCACATTTTTTGTTGGTTAAAAGATAAAAGCAACATATCGTCAAATCTTAAGTAAGCTAATGTTAGCAAAGTGCTAGCCAACTAATCTAAATGAGTTGTTAGCTAGATAGTCAGCCGAGAGCTGTTAACCACTTAATTGTTTTGCTTTGTAGCAAAACACTAGCTAACTAGCCAGCCAATCTAAATTGTAAGCTAGTTAGTTACATTTTATAACTGTTAACAAAACGCTAGGTAACGATTGATTAACAAACTACTTTAGTGATTGGTTGAAATAATGTGATGTGCTGTCACATACAGAGAGAGTGTACTAAATTGTATGCACAGTTTCCTCTTTCGGATCAATAATTATAATCTCAGTTTTGTCCTGAGATTATATATTTTAGTTTTTAAGGGAATAAAGGGGGCTCAGGTCATAAGGATCATCAGCTATATAGAGTTGGGTGTCATCTGCATAGCAATGAAAATCAATACAAATGATGACCGTCATAACTTTCGTAAAATGAAAAGCAGTTGACCGAGGACTGAGCCTTGCAGTACTCCATGTCTACTCTTTGTGATGAGAAGCTTTGCTGAGACAAACAAAATATCTCTGATTTTATTCTAGTCAATGCATGGCACTGTCACGTATAGTGATATAAATGTGTATGTTTGTGTCTTAGTTGCAAGCCCTCCAGAGCCAACTGGAGTTCCAGGAGCAGTCCATGGTGGAGAAATCCCTAGTCAGCCGGCAGGAAGCCAAGATCCGTGAACTGGAGAGCAAGCTGGAGTTTGAGAAGACCCAGGTCAAACGCCTTGAGGTGAGACAGGTGGAGGAGTGCTGGTGGTGCTGATGGTAATAGGCATGTGGGAGACAAAGCTCCATCATATGCAAGACATGAGAAGAGGTTGGTGGGAGGGTAAAATATGCTGCTGGGCTCACAGATAAACTGTAGAAACAGAAAAAGGTCAAGATGAACTGAACATAAATGGCACCACATGAATATGTACTGTAGGTGCATTAAATTTCAGACCTCCAGTTGGATACAACCATCCCTGCTTCACTTTTTCCTCTAGCTTGTGTTACTCTTACTTGACAATAGCATTTGTTATTCTGTCATTTTCAAATTACTTTCAGATTTTGCCTGAGACAAAAAGCACAAGTGAAGGATAAAGGTTACCATCTGCACGCTCCCAGGGAGAAATTGAAATCCTCTGCCACCCAATGATAAAATGACCCTGCGCTCAATTTTGCAGGTTCAGTTTAGTAATTACTAGCTGTGCTATGTGCTCACCGCCAGGCAGACTCCCTGTGCTCCTTGCTCGTCAAAATAAATACATTTATTTATTAAATGTGTGTTTTTTTTTAAGATAGCCGGTTTCTAGCCGGTGGTGATATATGCACAGAAAATATACACAAGGGTTAGACTCATTCTGCATTTTGGTTGGCTTTTTAATGGCTTCTCCACAGCATTAAAAACTGCAGCGAGTGAATATTTCAGGTTACCTGAGTAGTACAACTCATCAAAGCTGGAGGTAGCAGAGCTCAATCAATACAGATGTGAGTAGGTACAGTACAACACCCACTCAGTATGTGGACTATGGAAAGAGCTGATGGCTAATGCAGGAGCTCACTCACTGATAAGTGTGCTGTTGGCATTGATGCACAGGCTGAATACAGACTTGCTGCAGATGTAAAAGACTTGTATAGGAGTCGCCTGTTAAAAAATAGCTGAAGACTAACATATGTGATTAAAGTCTTCTGCACCCCTCCAATGCATTATTGATACCAATAAGCTCATCAATAGTTTACATTGCTTTCTGCCTCGGTTGTGTAGAAGTGTTGCGCTCTTATCCATACTCACTGAACCACAACAGGCATTTGCTTTTACCATTTCCTTGGAATCTATTGAGTTTTTCTTAATGTGCTCGGATTCTTATCTGCTACAGAAGTGAAGTTTGAACCAGGGATTGGTCGATGCCGATTTCTGAGGGCTGTGATAATAACGATACTGTATTTATTCAGATTATTTTAGCCATTGACATTGAATCTGGTACAACTCAACCTTGAGTCCATCCATCTCCCATTGTTTGGCCAGTCCTGTTTCATCCAAAACCAGACATTAGCTAGTAGCAGCCTCAAGTCCAAGCTCGGCCAGCATGGCTCCTATCCGGGTCTCTTTCTCTACACCCTGGGCAACAGCACCCAGTGTGGTGGGCTGGTCTCACTGATCTGGCTGGGTGGATCATTCCAAAGTCTGCTGGTCTTTAATCCAAACCCGACACTTCCTTTTTGGATGACCGCAAGCATTTCTGTCATGTAATACGTGTTTCTGCAAAAAAGCCGGAAACAGATTCAAACAAAAACAGAGGTTTGAAGGAGCTAGCCAACCATATGAATGTGCAGTGGTTGCCATAGTCAAAATCTTGTAATCCAGTTGATTTTAACAATTTTGGCTTTAAAATCAAATCCAATCAGACATCATTCAATGATGTTTCCAGCTTTATTGCTGGAAACAATAATTAAAACAAAAATGTGACATTGTTGAATGGAGAAATGGGAAAGCTACCGGACGCTGCATATAGATGTGCAGCTGTTGCCATGGCACTGGCAAAGGTTGAGTCAAGTATATTATTTTTGGTGCCCCCACCATTTATATATTGTATAAATCTGACCATATTGTTGAACCTTCTCTCTTTATTACTGCAGAGCCTTGTAGCTCGTCTTAAGGAGAATTTAGAGAAGCTGACGGAGGAACGAGACCAGCGCAGCAGCAGCGAGAATCGAGAGAAGGAGCAGAACAAACGTCTGCAGAGACAGATCCGTGACACTAAAGAGGAGATGGGTGAACTGGCTAAAAAGGAAGCCGAGGCCAGCCGCAAAAAGCATGAGTTGGTGAGTATGAGACATCGTACTAACAGTTATCCCTTAGCAAGCACTACGGTCAGACATTGTAGCAGAGCCTGCAGAGCATCCATCAGCCGTCAGTCGTCCTTTTGTCCTGGTCATCTGACTCTTGTCTCATTAACAGGAAATGGACATTGAGAGCTTAGAGGCAGCTAATCAGAGCCTGCAGGCTGACCTCAAGCTGGCCTTCAAAAGGATTGGTGACCTCCAGGCAGCCATCGAGGACGAGATGGAGAGTGATGACAATGAAGACCTTATCAACAGGTACAAAAAAATGTAGCTCTAAGTTCCTGAAGGTGGAGGAATATGAAAATAGTGTAAAAAAAAACTGAGTTTGAGAGCCAGAAGAATTTGCTCTTGCCCGAGGAATAACTGAGTCACTAGGCAGACACCATTTACATATGGAGTCCAATATTTATTGTATTGAAAGGGCACCAGTGTACAAAGAGAAGGAAATATCAGTTGTTAGTGTTGTTGTGTGTTACAACAGTTCATTGGCTGATGAAGATCACAGGCAGTTAAAAGCTCCAGAAAAAGCTAGCAAGTGGATGTTGATTTACGATAAAGATTGTCAAACTACTGTACCCAAGGTCAAGAATGAATGTTCTCCTCACATGAATATACTCTACTTCAGATAACAATAAGAATATTATTCTTACCAATATGTCCTTCACAGCTTCTGGTACGATGTATCACTATGGTTTGTTTTTTTTCAGGTGACTAAATCCCTGGTATTATCAGTGCTGATACAGTTTTGTAAATTTTTATAGCTCATGATTTTATGAATTTGTTTCAATTTCCTTGTGCAATTCTGCACACTTAATGCACTGTTTGGGAAAATGCAGTACAAAGCTGTTATAGGTTGAAAAAACATGGTTTTTGCAGCATTTTATTTTATCTAGTGTATGCATGTATATTTTTCATTCTCTCAGAACCATCCATTGTTAGCACTTTTTACTATAAATCCTCATCCTGCCATGAAAGGTTGTCCGAGTGAAATAGCTACATGTGCCATCTCCTTTCTGCTGTATCTCCTAACGTTTTTCTTTTCTCCCAAGAGTAAGATAAAAATATCGATATCAGTCATATGTCTGTGTGTAGAACAGAGCTTTGATGAATAACAGCCAGGAACATAGAATTCCTGGAGTCTTGTTGGCACAGTGAGGTTGCCTTCCATTGTGCCTGTAGAGAGACTAAAACAACAGCCTGTGCTCACCAGCTGGATCCGGCAACCAGTGCTGTAGCCTTAGATGCTGCTCACAAGTGCTGGGTAGATACATGAACAGTTATTTGTCGAGAAATCGTTCTAGGACATAACTGTCCCTAAAATTGCAATTTGTCATTTTTTAATTTTGGTTTTTGTACAGATTAAACAACTGACTTCTTATCCGCTCTGCATGCAAGACATAACATCAGGATGAGGTGTCATGCTGAGTCAATGCCCCTACAAACACAATGCATACGGTACAGTTAGTTTGCCAAAGGGAAAAAGAAAACTGGGTTATCACGGCCCTGACATCTAAAATTATTGAGATATTTGTAAGGGTCATTCACATTTCTTGTATTCTTTTGTTCATGTTTTTCTTTTCTGTTGTCTTCTGTTGTTTTCTTTTCTCATCCGTCCCTCCACCCATCATCATCACGACTAGTTTGCAAGACATGGTGACAAAGTATCAGAAAAGACAGAACAGAACGTGAGGAACTTGTGTTGTCTTGGTTTTTTGCACCACTGGAAATGATGCACTATTCTACAGTCTTTGAACATTTAGTCGAGACGTTGATAGCGGAGAGAGAAAAGCCCAGGTCTTTCCTCTGGGTTTAGTTTCGGTCCAGTTAGTCCATCACTTCTGGCTGTCACACTGTACAAAAGAGCTGATATTTAAAGGAAAAAATCCCCCCTGACAGAGTAGCATAGAAATTTCCTTTGGAATGCACCTGGCATTCTGGGCCAATTTGGTTGTTTGGTGCATTTTCTCTGATACCTGTGATAATTTTCATCTATTTTAAGACATCAGATTTTGTTGTCAGGCCCTCGGAATCAAACACTGATGACTCACTTCCAGATCCACACATGTTCAACAATTCAAACAGGAAGAATGCCTCATGGCAGGGGCAGAGATACAGTAAATCCTAGGGGGGATTTTCCTTTGATGTGTGAAGGCTCTGGGATAATGCATCATCAACAGTGCTCAGAGATTTCCCTCATAACCCCAGTTTACTCCACTCTTCATTGCATGCCCTCACATGCTGAGATGCATGAATACCACTGACAATATGTTACTTGAGCCCCAGCATGAAACCAGCCCACCCCCCTCCTCAGTTTCCCTGTATGGTTAACCACTTTGCAGAGCTTTTAATTCAAAGTGTCACAATCTCTTTGGTCATCCCCCTGGAGGCCTAGATCTCCCTCACAGTTCTCCTTTACGCTGCCAACGGGTATATCCAGCTGTGTTTACTTCTTTGGGCGTCATGTCGGACACTGTTGTGTTGTGTCTGAACAGCAGTCGGCAACGAGTCAGCCTCTCGCTCCCCGGGCCCTCTTAATATTTCATTGGGCCGCTCTGGGGCTGTATGTGGCCTCGGCGGTGACTGCCCTCCTGACAGGAGAAAAAAAAAGGGTGTGTTCCTCATCAATCTTTGACTCGCACTTGCTTAATAATGCAGAACCCTCAAATGTCTTACAAAAAGCTGTCTTGCTCACCAGGCGAGGAGCACACACGCAGCGTTAACCTCTGGCTCGCAGCCATTCCAGTCCCCTGTCACTGTTTGGTTTTCTGACTGTGTAAGGGATTATTCATCAGAGCTGGAAAGTGCAGTGTTATATTTTCATTAAATATAAATGATGTAGCGATACATTTAAATATATTAATATTAACAGCTTAATTCCATTTGTATTAAGTTGTTCTAAAATACATAAAATCCAGGAAGGCATATATCTAATCCAGTGGTTTCCAACCTTTATTCTTAAGCCCTTTTCTATCATTGAGTGAACCAACTCAAATTGTATGGATATTTTTCATATTCTATTCAATACATAACAATAACAGTAGAGAACAACTGATAAACTGTACAATGAACCCAAATAGTGAACACAATAACTGCAGAAGGTTTGTGTAAAACCAGTGGTTTTGATTAAATTTGAGCAGATTATTTCCTGTAAATATTGATCAAAGATGGGTGTTCCTGATAATTTTAGGAATGTTTTATACAACCCTCTGTCTGTATTCAGTGCTTTCTTCTCATTGTTCTATTAGCTCTTTTCTAATGCGGGACGAGGCTGGATGCAAATGTATAACTTCAAACAACAGAAAGCCCTAATGAATACTACATTCAAAACACCTAAATCCAACAAAAGTACAATTTCATCAACAACCTTACTACATAAAAAGGTTTCTCTTGTTTTTGTCAATTTGATATGTAATAGAAGACTGTTCTACAGTAGAAAATAAGCTTCTGTAGCACAATGAAGAGCTTAAAAATCTACCTTTAAATGTCTGTATTGGTCAGTTTAGATGTTGTGGTCTCTATTCTTCAGTACCACTGCTAACAAAATGCTTCCTGTCCTGAGCTTGTAAACTATAGTTACAATGTCATGCCACTGCTGGCTGAGATGTCAGTCAAACATGTTCTCCGCCCACCCACTCAGGACCTTTTCCACCAAATAAGTTCTGGTTCTTGAACCAGTTCTGTTCAAGATTCTTGGTACCTTGCTGCGATTTAGTGAACCAGCCTGCATTTCCACCAGTTTTGGTGGAACCATAGTAATCTGATGCATCATTAAGAGGGCTCTGCACAATGCACAACAACCAGTAGAATATGACACGCCATCTTTGGTTCCCAAGGAAAATCTAACTAACTAACTAACTTTTCAGATTCCGAACCAATTTAGTTTTGGTTGAAATGCTCTGAACGCTTCAAACTAGGGGCTCGTACTGGAACAGAGTTGGTTCCTTGTTAGTGAAAAAGGTTTGGAGCGTAAAGGAATATTTTTGATCTCCAAATACCTTAATTCTCTCTATTTATTATTTTTGTATTGGGAAATCACGTTAGCCAGGATTTGAAACTATGAAATGGCATGGTTATTGGAACTTGAGTTTGTTTTTAGTACAGCTAATTAATTACTATTTGAATATGTGCTGTTCTTATTGCAGTGTTACCTTTTCATGTGACACTATGGATTAGAGTAATTTTCTAAGCGTATGCTTCCTGATGGTCTTGGAAAGGATGCATATGCCTGTCTGTGCTCCAAAGCCACAGGGACTTCACTCGGTCGACAGTTTCATATATCGGAGGCATAAACAGAGGCGTCTATAAGACCCAGGGACACGGAGGAGCAAAGCTAAGCAGAGCAGAGCAGTAGGATCCATAGAAGCTAATGATGAATGTAATAGTGTGTAACAGAGATGTACAACCAATGGCGGCAGAATGTCACAGACAATTAATGTCTCCTCAGCACTGTGTTTGTTTGCTTCCCCCAGGCTTTCACCAGGGCTTAACTAATGGTATGGTGGTCAAGGACATAAATTGTGGTTGACACCATGTGTGAAGCACTCAATTACATAGTGCCCACCATTGTGGTTTTGGCTATAGACCTGAGAGGTCTTGCTATGTGCTCTGAATGTATCATGAAATAGTGCAGTGTCTGAGAATAATGACAGTCTAAGTTTTTCAGCTGGAGGATTAGAGTAACATTTACTCAGAGGAACTATTACTGTTTAACTTGTACAGTATTTACAAGGTACATTTATTGATCATTTTACAACACACGGTTATGTAATAAGTTGTAGTTCCCTTTATGCTACTCACAAAAACAAACATTATATACAATAGATGAGTGAAGAAGTCATAAGTCATTGAAATAAAACTATTTTACATTGTTGATTATTGAGGATGATTTAAGCAGTTTCCCAACCTGAGGAAAGAAGCTGTCTTTAAGTCTGGTGGTGCGGCAGCGGATACCTCTTCCCAGATGGCAGCAAGGTTAAGAGGCTGGGGAGATGAGTACCAATGATCTTCTGGCCGGTTTTAACCAAATTTTAGAAATCTCTTCAAACTACACATTGGTTTAATGGAAACATAATTACTGAGTTCAGTTGGATGAAAGCTATACATATTGTTTGGGTTTTTTTTACGAACATTTCTGCAAAACACTTACAATGTATCTCATTTATTTTAGTGCAATAGCTGCTCATAGCAACTAAAGCCTGATGAATGACTTCGTGGTTATGTGCATGGTTACACTTTGTGGACTCCTTTTTGCCAGTCCACAACATAATCCAGGTAATGATTACGCTTCTTCCTAAACATATTTGGCATAAACCTTTCTTGGAGAGTTGTTGTTCCAAACAGTCATTTTTAATACTGCTTTTTTTCAGGAAACTCAGCAGTGTTATTAAGGTTACAAGGCTAAAAGAAAAACCTTAACTGCACTTAATTTCCCCAATTTCCGTTTTCCAATTTTGTCAAGGCAGGAGTTATTTAAGACGAATGTTGCCAGTGAAGACAAAGGTTAAAAGATTAATTTAAGAGGGCTGCAGGGAAGAGTTGACTCACCAAAAACCTGACCAACACACAAATCCTCGCAAAGCTTTAACTCTAAAAAAAAGGTCAGATAAGAAAACATGTCTGGGTTTTAGGTTCTGCTACCTGACGTTAAAGCATCCCCTCCCCTCAGTGACTGATGTTTATCCAGTATTTCCAGTCCATAGCACCAAAGACAAAGACACTCTGCTGCTCTGTCATCGTAACAGTAGTCAGCAGCAAATCCCCAGATTGTCTAATAGTCGAGGCATGTTCCGCAATGCTAATTACAGCTTAAGAGTTTGTCGCCCCCGTCCTCCCTGCCATCCCTCCCTCCTCGTCTCGTGCGTGAATGCAGTCCCAGCATTGCCATCCAAAGTTATTGTATTCTATAAAAGCTAGCAGGCTATGCATGTGGATCTCACTGGGCAAGCCATTATTTGAAATATCCCCTTTGAAATCCAGTGAGCTTTTGTCTCTGCCTGCTAATGATTTTAATTATAGGTGGTACTGGGCCTTTCTGAGCCCTGTGTGCTGGAGAAAGGAATATTTTTCTCTCTCTTCCTCAACAAGATGGGAGGCTCTCTGAAACAGATGCAGAGATGTTGAGCCACCCCTCTGATGTCTCTATAGGACTATTAAGCTGTAACAACTTAATTTCACAGCGCCACACAAGCACTGGGCTTTGACGGCACTTAATGAGTGTTGCGCTCTTTTCATCCGTGTCAAATTTTATGACAAGCCCTCTATTTTACTCCATGGCTCGCAGTGGTTTGTGAACGTGTAATGATAATTGAGAGGAAAAACAGTGCAGTGCCCAGCTGTGTACCAAATCATTCTGTCAAGAACTGAAATTATGAGTGTATGCATATGACGCGTGTGTGCAGGACTGCTGATGAAAATAATTACCAGATGAAGGGTAAATGTGGACATTTTCTGCAACTTTAAACTCCCACTGTGCAGTGCGAAGAAACATTTTTCAACAAAGGTGTTGTTTTCATGGTTTTTGCCATCTATCGTCATTGGTTGTCGTAACATTTATAGATCTAAAAACAAATACAAGCTGTTCAGGGGGTCTTAAAAAGTCTGAAATCCAATCAGAATTTTTATGTGTTAAAGGTCCAGTGTGTAGGATTTGATTCAATTCAATTTTATTTGTATAGCGCCAATTCATAACAGAAGTTATTTCAGGACCGTTTTTCAAATAGAGCAGGTCTAGACCGAACTCCTTATAACATTATTTACAGAGACCCAACAGTACCACCATGAGCAAGCACTTGGCGACGGCGGCAAGAGAGAGAGAGAGAGATGGCATCTAGCAGTATAGTTGCTCACTCATTTCTCCCTCCCTTTCCGACCCGCGAAGGAGAAACTACAGTGGCCGCGAAACACGCAAAAAAACATGCATGTTGGGTTTGTCTACTGTAGAAACATGGTGATTCAAAATGGTAGACTCCGTAGAAGGAAGAGGACCCATTCCCTCTGTAGATAAAAAAAGACAAGCTCATTCTAAGGTAACAAAAACACGATTCTTATATTCAGGTGATTATACACTAATGAAAACATAGCTATGAATATTATATTCCATTTCTGCCATTAGATCCTAAATGTTACACACTGGACCCTTAAAATGTCTTTAATATGGTCTTGACAGATCTTAGAAATTGATTGGATTAATAAAGTTAACATTACTTGCATAAAGTTGCATTTTCTTGCTTTTAAATGCGTTTTTGGAAAAATGAGCTGGTGACCCATATACGCAGCGGCCCGGGTTCAAATCCGACCCCTGCTGCATGTCATCATCTCTCTCTGCCCCCCTTTCCTGTCTATCTCTAGCTGTCTCTCTATCAAATAAAGGCATAAAGGCCAAAAAAATAATACTTAAAAAAAACTAACATGGAACCAATACCAATTTTCCTTCATATCCATTCATTACTTTTTTTTCGACAGTATGGACGTAAAATAGGTCTTAAATTGCATACATAATGGTCTTAAAAAGTCTTAAATTTAACCTGTTGAACCCTATAGAAGGGAATATTTTCCCACTTACATTTAATATGGTGAAGCTCTGGCATATCTAGATGAAGGTTGTTTAGACTTAAACTTATGAAAATATTGAAAAGTATGAAATAAAATAGCCATCTGATAAAAGGGACATTTAAAGTCCATTTACTAGTCAGTTTGCTACACACATAAAGTACAGTACAATTTTCACTGCAAGCCACGTGTACCTAGGTAAATGAATTGGTTGCTCTGCCAAAGTTAGAATAACTTGTGAACTGAGATACTGGTACTCCAATAACAGAAGAAATCTCGATACCATGACCTCACTTGAGCATGTTATTATTTTGTGCTAATGCATTTCAGCAGTAGTAGTATCCCCAAACAAAGATTGCACTGTTACACCAAATCAAAATCACACTTCTGAATTGAATTGAGTTGAAATGTGGGCAAGTAACTTGAGCACTGTGTAAGGCCCTAAATAATACTGACTTGTGAACCAAAACAAACTCAGAGTACAAGGTAAGTTTTGAGGGAACCCTCAAGCTTAAAAAACAACATAAAAACGGAGGATTTTTTTTTGCTGAAATGTATCAGCAGGAAATTCAAATTGTAAAACAAGACACAGTTTTGTGATTTATTTGTGTTTTTGGAATGCCACTATATTAGTTGTACAAGTTGTATTTGCACAATGTCTTCTGTGGCTCAGAAAGACCTGTGCTTAAAGAGGACTCCACCGACTTAGCATTGCACTAACATTTTTGGACTCATGATACAAAGTTTAAAAAGATCCAGGACCAGAAATTTTTCCTTCTTGTCAAACCTGGAGCCTACAGTACCAACAATGTAATTTCTCCTTTCCTGTACTCAGATATGCTATGTGCTAGGCCCTCCTGTGTTGAAAAGACAACCACATTTTGAAGATGGTTAAAAGATAAAAGCTAGATATAGTCACATGTTAACTTGCTAGATAACTCATAATTGATGTAGTTCATTAGTTAGCTAGTGTTTGCTCACGCTACTTAGCTAAATTAAGAAGTGATTTTATGTATGTATATATATATATATATATATATATATATATATATATATATATATATATTTATCTTTTAACCATCTTCAAAATGTGTTTGTGTTTTTTTACATAGATTAGCCTACCACATAGCATATCTAAGTACAGGAAAGGAAAAAGATGACTGAGGTTTGCTCCACTGTTATTGGAGCACAGATCATAAAGGGGTGGGACTTAGGAGGTGTCAGTTGTGGAATTGCCGTACTAAATCATCGCACTATCCCTTTATAGTAACATGAGTTATCAGACAGCCTGGCAGATTTGGAACACATTGTCAGTTACCAAATCCTCAAAGCACTTATTTGAAAGTGAAGTTATTACCTAAGCCACAATTCACATTCCCTTTCAAATAAGTAGTTTAGATAACAACGTGGAACTGTGAACTTTGAAACCAGTCAGCCTGGGGGTTTGGTTGCTCTGTAATGATTAAAATGTGTCTAGCAGAGTTGCTTCTTTCCCAGATCTCAGCAATAAACTTGGTGTATAAAATCTCCCCATAACTTACAGGGACAATGACCAGAACTGTGAAATAAAAGCAAGATTGTAAAAAACAGAGTTCATATAATTTAAGATTGATCGTTGGGTTTTGTTCCTCTCATGGTGCTATTTGAGCTCTGAAGTCACTTTGAAGGAGTAATGGTAGAATGTTTGTTGGTTGCCACTGTTCCACCTAACTACTGGACCATGATAGCACTCACCTAACAGTGACGTTGCTGTGTGACGTTTTCTTCTATACAACCTCTTGTGGGCATGTCTGTGTGTTTACAGGGGCTCTCAGAGCTGACTGCATGTGCTGCCTTTCATCCAGAATAAATGCCACAGCCCCGCTTTGCTTCCACACTAACACTTACAGCCTGTTCTTCGTTCTCTGGTTCCACAGCTACAGAGAATTACAAGGGCATTTCTAGCAGTGTTGACTCTCCTTTCACACTAACATTTATTTTACCTGATTGTGTCCTCTCTCTTTTACTCTCTTATCCGCTCATAACCTCCTTTGCTCCCTCTGACTTGTTTTCCTGTCTCTGACTCCTCACCAGTCAGGGGGATTCAGACACAGACTCTGAGGTGGAGGATCGTGTGGATGGGGTGAAGTCCTGGTTGTCCAAAAGCAAAGGTTCTGCCAAGAACCTCTCAGATGACGGCAGCCTCAAGAGCTCCAGGTCAGTACAAAGGCTGAAGTGAATGTAACAGCAGCAGTTAGTGAGAACCTAGACATTTGACTGCTTTTGGCCTTTCTTGATGAAGTTGTTTACATGATCCGACCTAGAGGAAATAAAGCAGAGCAGGTTACTTGCCTGAAATGAGGGGATTGCTATTACTTAAACGTATTTTCAAGCTGCTTTGTCTTTATTGTCATCCACTTGGTGAAGAGGGAATTTTTTATTTTTTATTTCTTTTTCAAAAAACAGACCACCTCCATGCTAGATTTATCGATAAGCCCAGTGGCCAGCTGGCATAGTCTACCTGAGCCGCTCGCTGAGATAAATGAATGTGTCTGCAAGCTGACAGCTTCGATTGCCCCAGATTTGTCTCCTTACCAGAAGATTTAACTTCCCTCCCTTAGCTGAGCCACTCCCAACTTTAAAAACTTTGGGAGTTTTTAAATCTCTCTTAGCATCATGTCCCCATAGACTTTTTAGTTTTTAAATCACTTTAATTGCCAATTACACACATACACAAGTACAAGTACATTGTAATTCTTGCCCAGGTCAGGGGTAAAAAGGGACAGAGGCTTATTATTTCATAAAAATAACTTTTTGTCATACTTGTTGAAACTTGCACTATATCCTGACAGTAGTACATGAGACAGATAATCAGTGAAAAACATCTGATTTCTCTGGCTTCTCCTAGTGCTCCTAATGTAATTTGCAAGAAAGAACAAAAATAACCTATCGGAGCTGAGACATATAGTTGACTGTTGAGTCTCATTCCCTGGTCGTCAAATAGCGACGCAGGGAATGAGACTCAAACATCAACGATCATAAAGCCACCAACCCAAAGCATCTTTCTCGACTCTTATTGGTGTTTTTCGTTCAAGCTCGATGGATTCTTCCTTTTCAAATTCCATTTTTTTGAATACTTAAGTTTTGTTGCAACTAGTGCTGTCAAACAATTAAAACATTGAATCGCGATTAATCGCATTAATGTCATAGTTAACTTGCAATTAATCGCACATTTTTATCTATTCTAAATGTCCCTTGATTTCATTTCATCATTTTAATGCTCTTATCACCATGGACAAGTGGCAAATGTTTTTATTGAAAAATCATCCATTTTCGCCTGGCTTTTTCTGACGTTACTAGTTGTTGCAACTGCAAAGTGTGCTAGGCCAAAAAGAACGTTAATCTCACGATAAAAAAATTGACGCCGTTAAAATGGTTTTGCGTTAATGCCGTTAATAACACGTTTAACTGACAGTACTAGTTGCAACATTATCATCTGAACATAATGCTACATTGGTCAAAACATTTCAATTGCTTCTAAGTGCGTTTGTAGAGAATTGAAGGTTTGATGGAAGTTTTTCAATTGTGCCCTTCATTTTTCCTTGGTGGACAAATAAATACCGTTGGTGTCTGTCTTGATAGTTCAATGCAGGAAAAGCCCTTGTTAGTCCTCAGTCAGTTGTCTCCAGTTGCATTCTCATTTGCTAAATTCCAGCTCTTACTTTTCTCATCACATTTCTGTTTTTCTGATTTGTCAAGTTTGATTAATCTTTTTCCTGATTCTCTTCCTTCACTCACCTCTACTTGACCCAACATCTCATCTTTGTCATTTTCTCTCCCACTGTCCTCCTTCCTTCGTCCTTTCCGTTGTTGTTGTTTTTTTAGATTTGCTGTAAATGTAGACGCAAAGGAAGGGAAAGAGTGGAAGGAAGGTAAGGAATGGAAAGAGGTAAATAAAGAGGGCAAAGAGGTAGAGTCGAGCAGGCCAATGTCAGTGATGAGCTCCCTCAGTTACAGAAAACGTTCAAACCTTGATTCCATCGGTGGCAAAGGGGATGCCCTCCTCAGTTCCCTCAAGGAGAATGCAAAGTCAGAAGACACTATATCCTTCCATAAGGCTAAACCAAAAACCTCTGATCTTCAGGATGATACCTACTCAGTAAGCTCCAGGAGGAAATCCCAGGCAGGGGATGACATGAATGACAGAGAGTCAGTCATCTCCCAGGCCTATTCAGAGGCCAATAGCCGAGCCAGGAAAGGCATGGACAGCCGCTGGGGTGACTTTGATAAAGAATCAACCATTTCATTCACTGCACCAAGTCGGGCCTCCACACGTCTTGGGTTAAGCCCAGAGAATGATACCAAGTCAACCATCAGCTTAGGTATGTCAACTCCACTAGGACGCCGCCAAAGCACCTCACGCTTAGATGAGGGCAGAGGTGGGCGTCCACTGTATGGAAGCAGTCCCAGTAGCCCTTGCTTCAGCAGACGGTCTGGGGGTCGCAGTCCTGGAAGTGTTAGCCAAGCTGATTCTCACATATCACTGTCACGCAGCTGTCGCCTAAGTGAGTTTGGTGTTGACGCTGATGATAGTCGAAGTGTTGCCTTCACCGAGAGGTCAGCGTACAGTCCTCACTCGTCCACTGGCCGCAGTTTCTCCATGCCACCACCACAAGCCAGATCATCAACTGCTGATGATGACCCCATTGATAACTTGGATATCAAAACAGTCAGTCATCGCAACTACCTCGACCCTGACCTAGAGAAAGCCATCAATGAGGTGCTGAGTTTCAAGCCTATCAAATTTAAACGCAGGAGCTTGGAAGACTCTGAAGGTGAAGAAGAAAAATGTAAAAATGATGAAGATGATAGCAAAGGCATATGTAATCAAGACAGTAACCGCCCCACCAGCAGTCTTAGACGCTCTGCATCTGCTTTGGACTGCATGAGAGCATCCCGCAGTGCCAGCAGCTGCAGCAGTCGCCATCGCAGCAACAGCAGAAGCAAAAGCAGAAGCAAGAGCAGAAGCAAGAGCAAGAAAAAGAAAAGAGACCACAGCTCAGAGTCTGACAGCTCAGGAGACAACCATCATCATAGGAGCAGCTCCAAGACGAAGTCGAGGAAGTCCAAGAAGTCCAAGAAAAAGTCCAAGAAGAGGGATGAATCTTCTTCCTCTTCTTCCTCGTCGTCTTCTTCTTCAGATTCTGACTCGGATTCTGGGTCAGAGTCAAGCTCCGGCGCCTCCACCATTTCCTACCGAAGTTCCAGCAGTGTGAAGAGGGCCCCGGTTCGAAAGGTGTCCAGCCCAGAAGGAGAAGGAGAGGCTCAACCACAGAGTGAAAGCCAGCCCCTTAACAAAAAGGATGATAAGAAGAGGAAGAAGAAGGTGGACAGCCTGATGATGAAGTACCTGTACCGGCCGGACAGTGACTGAGGAAGGCAGTAGGTGGTTCCCTGATATGGAGTTACCTTGAGGAGTGTTTTTGCTGCATGATGTGACCTAACTAATCAAAGACCTTCTCACTGTTATCAATTCAGACCGTTCTGTCTGATTGGGATTATAGTTTACGTTTATAATTTGCGTTTTTGATGATTGTGTCATTGTCAGCATGCTAACCATTTTGTTTACTCCTACACCTTCTCAGTTTCTAGTCAAACAGTAGTCACCACATCCTTTGCAGCTGTTTTGTTAAAGGGTTAGTTTGGATTTATTGAAGTGGGGTTGTCAAACTAACCCTTTAAGGCTTTCATTGAGGACTTTTTGGGAGCTTGGGTACATTTTGAACTTCATCTCACCAGGAAGTGTAGTTGGTGAGATGGCGCACGCAACGTGGATGTTAACTCAGCCTTTAATTACTGCCGAGATGTCATATTGATTTATGGCCCCAGAAAGGTAAAAATAACGGGAGTCTATTAAGAGAGGCCATAATACATTTTTCCCTCAAGCCCCATAACTCCAGGCATAATTAGACCCCAAGCATTGATTTACACCAACTAGCAAATTCATTTGAGATGCACAGTTGACAGTAATTAACCCCCAGTTTGCAATATTTAAGCAGTTTGATAATGTGAAAAGGCTGGGCTAAACTCCATGCAGACTGGCGATGGGATTGGATTTTTCTTACGTAGTAATATTTCAGATGATGTTTAAAAAAAAAAGATGACTTGAATCATGTTTAGATATTGATAATAATTTCTTTCATTTTTTCAGTAGACTTAACTCTGGATTTTTTATTTGTACTAATTCACAGTTCTAACATTTTGAGGGGATGGAATCACATCCGTCACAATGCTTTGTATTTGATATCTGAATAGCACAGTGCCTTAGTAACCACAATAACAGTTTGGCATGTGGCACCATATTGCATGAGATTTTGTGCCCACCAGATGCTAGAGAAAAAGCTAACCTTACGACATGGCAAAATGTACAGCTACTCTGTGGTGAAGACAGCTCAACATAGTGTAACACAAGCAAATAGATAAAACACAAGCAAATTAATAAAAACTGCAAATCTATAGAACACATGTGCAAATAGTGGAAATGATACACAACACAACAGAAGACTTGTTGATACTAAAAACAGATCAACTAGTACAGATACAACCACCTAGAATTGTTGGCTGGTCCATGCTCCGAATGGATATCTGGCAGGAAGCCGCTTGGCTGGTGTTGTAGATAGTAGGCTAAAGCTAGGTGTGTTAATACCTCCAATAACATCAGACTCACACAATATGAGTCTTAAAACTAACATTAGCTCATCTTCAATTTAAAGGTCCAGTGTGTAACATTTTAAGAGGATCTTTTGGTATAAATGGAATATAATATTCATAGGTGTGTTTTCATTGTGTAATAAGAATTGTTGTGTTTTTGTTATCTTAGAATAAGCTGTTTTTATTTACAGAGGGAGCAGGTCCTCTTCTACAGAATCCGCCATGTTGAACTGCCATGTTTCTGCAGTAGCCCAGAAGGGACAAACCAAACACTGGCTCAGATAGGACCGTTCGCTTTTTTCACACATTTTGTGTCCACCGTAGGTTCTCCTTTGTGTAGTTTCTCATTTAGTTTATACGAGGGAGTTGCAATCTACAATTACACAGCTAGATGCCACTAAATCCTACACACTGGACCTTCAATTAAGAAGTTGTTTAATTCAGAATATCGCATGGGCATACTTTCAGTGTCCCCTGGAAACTTCTGTTGTGTACGACTTGCAGTGTTTATGTATTTGTTTGTATTTTATATATTTGCAGTATGTTCTTATGTTCCTTGTTTGCTCCGATCCAGGACAACTATGTACAGTCTTGTATTGCCATCTCATACATATTTAGGGCTCATGCTCAGGAGCCCAGCAAGAATGTTGACCATGCAAACGGTAGGCAGGTAGTAGGCAATCTTCTTAGCAACCTTCCAGGTATGAGAAAAACAATGCCAGGTAAGTGCAAAGTGCCAAAAGAAACCTTGATTTACTCTGACTGAGAAAGGTGTCCTCTATTAAATTCTTCACTTGAAAATTGGAAGATTTTTCCTCACTGTAACGCTGCTCATCCACAGTGTGCTTAGTGCTGCCACCAGTGGCTGGAAGATATTGCGGCAGTTCATTCAGTTCATATGCAGTTTATCAACCTTTCTCTGTCAGTCTAAATGATTGTTTTTGTAACAGAACATTGCCTGCCAACCAGTGAGTTTGTATTTGGAATATTTTTTTTCTTCTTAATGCAACGTATGTGTTGTCTCAGGGAGGAAGATGATTTCTGAATTTTTCTTTTTGATAATAACATCAGCTTGTGCTTTTTCTTTCCCGCTCCAGCCCCCCTGGCCGAAGACGCTACTGCTTCGACAGATCTGATGAAGAGGAGGAGGAAGAAGAAAAAGAAGAAGGCGGGGCGACCCAGGGCTCTTACTACTCCAGATACAGACATAGCAGCCACATGAAAGACGACGATGGTGGCGAGGAGCGGCCTTATGAGACCACATCGTAGTCCTTCCCGTTAGCATTCACCATCTCAGACGCACCCTCGTTCAACTGTGACAGTCTTGCATGCCAAGTTGACCCGAAACCTGGTCAGTCCAACACAACCATACTCACAACCCTGCAGGAAAACCCAGACATTCAAATACTGTAGATGTTCCTAACACTCAGTCTGACCTCCTTATGGGAGATCCAAACAAACCACATGGTGTGTTTGACTTGGCGCTCATTGGTCTAACCTCACTGCACACACAGCAGCTCCGTTATAACAACTCCACTCCGCTGGTTGCATGCAAGCAGTTGTTGCTTGGCTTGAGCAGCCATCCTGTTTAACTCCCATCATCACGGTTGTAACTGAGCCAAAGAACTTAAGGTTGCAGTGATAATAGATTCTTTCTTTCTCACTCTTTGTCTCTGTCACTCCTCCTCTCTTCTTTACATATAGTACACCACAATAATATGTATTGCCATAGTACAATGTATTGCCAAAAAGCCTTTGTTCAAGTATGTGTGCACACCGTTTTACTTACTGCCAGCTGATGCTGAGTCCTGGGAGAAGTCCCAGCCTTTTCTTCCTCTTTTCCTGTTTGGAACAAGTGCCATTTGAAGTGGACTCCTCTGCAGCTGGCTCCTCTGCAGCTGTGGTGTTTCATGAACTGCTGCACTGTACACTGAAGACTCATCATCATCATCTACTCGCTTTTTTTTTCTGCCTTTTGCTGGCAAATTATCTCTTCTTACAGGGGAAGACAATTGCATCAGTAACTGTTCCACTATGAAAGTGAAACACATTTTCTCAATTTGAATTTATTCTTTATTATGTTTGACAGATTTGTTGTTGCAGAGGAGCGCCGTCAAGCAAATGAATTTCTACGAGGTTTAAACTTAACTCTGTAAAATGCCTTGTCTTATTTTTATTTTTAATTCTATTTGATTTGACTAAATACTTGCCAGAATTCTCTAGTGCTGAAAAGACTCTGGCTATGTCCTTGTGGTTGTCGTTCACATGCCGTCTGTGTTTTGTGATAAGTTTGTTGTGCTTTCTTTTTTCAAAGGTAATGTACTTGACTTTGGGCACCAGTTATTTGTTGCTTCGTCACAAAAACCTCTGAACATACGGTATCCACAACCAGCATGTTAAAGGAAAAAGCTGGTGGTATTCTATATTTTATAGACCAAAACCAACATTGTGTTTTCTGGACCTTTGGGAGCTTGTGTAGTGTGTGTGTGTAACAAAATATTGGTCCATTTATCAAGTTGTTGTTTTTTTGTTTTTTGTTTTTTAGCTTTCAACCATGCTAATAGGACTGTCAATTAAAAAAAATCTCATTCAAAGAAATTTAAACCAACACATAATTTATTCAAGTTACCTAAACTCAACACACACAGTCCTTAAATGTGTCATACAATTAACGTGGTTCAATTCCTTCACTGTGCCTCTGCTGCCTCACTTAAATGACGAGCTAACTTTACGATTACATAGTTTCACTTTACAAAGTCAGAAAACGGCCCATCCATTTTTACATCCATAGTGTCAAATCCAAATGGTTCATAATGGCTAGCTATTTTTTTCCGTGTTGCGAAAACAAAGTGCTAAAGCGCCCAAAAGAACATTAGTGCTAGCAAAAAGAACATCAGTGTCAGCGAAAAGAACATCAGTGCTAGCAAAAAGAACATTAGTGCTAGCATAAAGAACATTAGCGCTAGCATAAAGAACATTAGTGCTAGCATAAAGAACATTAGCTCTAGCATAAAGAACATTAGTGCTAGCATAAAGAACATTAGCTCTAGCATAAAGAACATTAGCTCTAGCATAAAGAACATTAGTGCTAGCATAAAGAACATTAGCTCTAGCATAAAGAACATTAGCTCTAGCATAAAGAACATTAGCGCTAGCATAAAGAACATTAGTGCTAGCATAAAGAACATTAGTGCCAGCATAAAGAACATTAGCTCTAGCATAAAGAACATTAGCGCTAGCATAAAGAACATTAGTGCTAGTGAAAACAACATCAAGTGAAAAAGACAGTAAAAGAAAGCACTAGCAAAAATAACATTAGAGCTAGCAGAAAGAACATTAGCCTAGCTTACAGATAAGACATCCTGTTGCACTTATACGCTGAGAATTTATAAATCAAACACATTATTACATCTTGAATATTACATTTTCTTCCATGTCCCATGATTCCATTGAAAAGAGAAATGTATATTCCTTTGGATTCTCTGATTTTAATGAAAAAAGAAAAATGTAGAATATCACCAGCCTTCTTTTAAGCCTCATTGGGTACTTTAACTTCATTAACTGGACACACTACAGTCTGTATTAACAAAAACTGTGAAATCATGTAAAGAGAAAGAAAATAGGAACCTGCATTTTCATTAAGTGTCACATCACACCCTTTGGTAATCTGGTATTTACTGAGTAGCATCGAGGTATTATTGAAAGCCATTTAAAGTCCAGAAGAGCTTGATGTGGCGTTGGAGGCTGAAATAAATTTGCGGATGTTGTTCATTGTGGGAGAAGCTGGGTGTGATTCTACTATACATGCTTTTTGTAGTCTTCATTTTTATTCTCTATGCAGTCAACAAGTGTGGAAATGTGTTTTGACCTTATTGACCCTGATACAAGAGTCTGGCTTCAACAGGAAAAAACAAAACTGAACAGCAGGCTTAATATTGCTGACTGCACATAGTATTTATATATAAATATGTGTATGATTCATGCTAGCTTTGAAAATAGTTCGTTTATTTTCATTATTGAACAAATTGACCACTTGTTATTAATTTTGCATTACAGTTTAATATATTGTAAATAAATGATGGTGATTGTTTTAGAATGCCTTGAAGAGTGGCTTTGTCTGAGTTTAAATATTTTGCTGCTGTGTGTCTTCAGTTTCCATTCACATCTGGAATTTGGATTTGCTTTTGTTCAGAGATTTCCAGAGGACATGCAGATAAAAAAACAAAAAACAACAAAAACGCTGCTGTTTTCTGCGTCTACTTTTGACCCTGTGAATGCCTTAAAGGGACACAAAAGCCACTGATTTCACTTTGTAATATAAGGGAAAATAAGCATTCTCTGCTCCAAAGAACTAATAACAATAATTAACTCTCCAGATATGAACTCATTTTGCTGGAGGCAGCAGAGTTTCCGCTGGAGAAATCCAGTTTGCATGATGGTGAAGATGATTCAAAGTGTCACAGTGATAAATGCAGGCTTTCATTTCAAAAGCACATATTAAAATCTCACTTCAACTAATGGACTCTGGTATGACTCCTGAGGTTATATCCACAGACGAATCACGACCTGTTGAAGAAGACTGCTCATCACTTAATGAGCTGACTGAGGTGTTGGACAGCAGCAGGCAGACAGGATCAGCTCAGTTATTTATTTAAAGATACACTTTTGCATTAAATGTCTATAGACTCTATGCTACTCTAGCTCTATGTTCTATATGTAGTTGAGTTGTGTACTTCCATTATCCCAAATGTTTCCAACAATGTTCAAACTCAGAGAAATCTGTCATTTTATTCAGGTAACGCTGCGTTTCACCGGTCGCCTGTCGATGGCGTCATATCCCCTTTGTGCCTGCGTCAGTGTTGTGGTTGTCTGCCAGAAGCTGTCATACATTGACTGTTGATCCAGTCTGAAGCCACATTGTTACCATCCACTGTTTAGATCTTGGTGCTTTTTAACTCTAGATTTGAACCAGATGAAGGATTTTAGTCATCGGACGTCTGGATCTTAAGTTATCAGAGAAACAAGCTGAGCTAACGTTAGCAGCAGCTCGACTCACAGCCCCTCCGGGACGTCCTCTGTCTGTCCAACAGTGTGGGAGAAGCAGTGATTTTTAAGGTGGAACTGCTTTATTCAGTGTTTTAGTGGTTTTAATCAGCAGGTCTGTTTGTTCTGGAGAGGAGGAGACCTCTGTGGATCATTGGGCTCCCGGTAAAAACCTCCTGAACCATGAACACTGAAGGAATCCTAACTGGGAGAAGCTGACTGCAGTGACGCCAATGGAGGTGAAGACAACAACTCCCATGATCCCCACGCTGCTTCATGATGTCATAAAACCTTAATTAAAAGTCCATATAAAACAGCTAAATAGAGAGCTCACATTGGTATAGATAAGTCAGAATTTACTTTTATATTTTATACTCATAAAGACTATATTTATTTATACTTAAGTGTTAATAATAAAAAAGTAAGTTTGTCTTTTTTTTCTCTAATAGGTCATTCTTAAAATATATTAATTTTATTAGGTCCAGTGTGTATCATCAGTAGTATAGGAAGCAGGTCATCTGCTATGGAGTCTGCCATGATTCTACAGTTGCCCAGAACATGCAAGAACAATGATTCAAGTTTTTTGTGTTTCACAGCCACCATAGTTTCTCCTTTGCGTTAGGAAGGGGAGGGTGAAGTAAGGGGGTTGCTATCTGCAACTACACTGCTGGATGCCAGTAAAATCCTACACAGTGGTTCTTTAAATAATAAAGGAACTGTGATGATGTGGCTTCCCATGTACTCGACATACACTTTAAGCAATAACCTTTACTTTTCATATTGATCAGGTCAAATGCTTTGTAATAAACTAATGATTTTGTGACACAAGTTCTTAAAGCTTCCCTTCAGTCAGAAATCAGTGTTTCTTTTTGTCCCTACAGTGTGCTGTCTGAATGCTGTCTGTGCAGAGTTTGACTCTAGAAGGATGTTTTCACATTCATCTGCTGAAAGTGGAAAGTTTCTCTGAGCTCATTGAAAATCTGATTTTAAGGGGCGGGGCCTACCAGCATGAACAGTGACATCACAACTAGTTAGGAAGTCAATCAAAAGTAGATGCCTTTTTAAGGATTTTAATGTGGAAATATATATGACAGACATTATTGTTCTTAGCAGATTATTTGTATATATGTCTCAATACATGACTTGAAGGGCTCTGTACATATTCTCAACATTAAGAGAAAATACTGTAAATAATATAATGATTAATGAATCCTTCAGTTCCATCCTGTTACCTACAGACAGAATCTGTCAGAGCAGCTGAAGGCCATCATGTGTTCACTGTGTCAAGCATTGCTTTCTTAACACAAACATCTGCTGGTGTGTGTGTGTGTGTGTGTGTGTGTGTGTGTGTACAGACTTAAGGACGTAAGGACATCAGAGTGAGAGCAAAGATGTAATCTTTCTTTGCTGATCAATATTCAATCTAATATTTTGATATGTGTGTGGAATGTGCTCTGCAGTTTGTCCTTCATTCAACTTCTTACTTCAGATAAAAAGTCCTTCATGTTGTTCTGTCAGATATTGCAGTTCACACTAAATGTATCAGACAAGTTTTTCCAACAGACGTGCAATATATTTATTGTCACGCCAGCGCCTCCTTAAAGGTCTAGTGTGTAGAATTTAGTGACGTCTAGCAGTGTAGTTGCAGACTAAGAGAAACTACAGTAGTTGTTAAACTCGAAAAATGTGAAAGGTCCAATCTACAGCCAGTGTTTGGTTTGTCTGTTCTGGGCTATGTAGAAACATGGCGGTTCAACATGCCAGATTCCGTAGAAGAGGACCCACTGTAGATAATAACAGCTTATTCTTTGGTAACAAAAACACAATTCTTACTTTCAGGTGATTATACACTAATGAAAACATACCTATGAATGTTATATTCCATTTCTATCCCTTAAATGTCACACATTGGACCTTTGGACTGCATTAAGTCTGCATAAGGATATATGACATGATATATGTCTGAATTCAGTCTGCTCCAACAACGGACCCTTCCAAAGGCTCGCCCCTTTTGGACCCTCAGTCAACTTTCTTTTGTCCTGTACTTAGATATGCTATGTGCTAGGCTAATCTATATTGAAAAGACATCCACACATATAGCCTACATATATACAGCATAGAGCTTCGATCGTGCCCAAAAAATCAAGCCCGACCCGAGCCCGTGCACGCTGTGTCCGAGCCCGGCCTGACACATTAAATGTAATTATGAGCCCGAGCCCGATTTAAACCCGACAATTTTCAAGGTTCTCAACTGCAATTCCGAGTTGTTTGAACTACAGAAATCTGTTTAGAATCATCTTAATGAATAATGCAACAAGGACGAAGCATGTAAACTGCGTTGTTTGTGTATTCATAATGGAATCGATCAGCAGGCAGGCCCGGTGTGATGCGTGTGAGTGGAGGACACGCTGCGCATGACACGTGTTGCATTTTGTAACTTTGTAGCCTAACTTGTGCAACTTTGTACACATTTGTTACTTAGGCCTACTTTGCTAAAACATATACATAATATTTCTGATTATGCCGTAGCTTTCTCTCCACCCAATTAGGCTAATAAAGTAATGATTAGAAAAAACACACAAATGCTTGATCAAGGGAACCAAGTTCGGGCTCCGGCAGAGAATCGAAACTCTAATACAGCGAGTAAAATAAGTATTGAAAACGTCACCATTATTCTCAGTAAATATATTTCTAAAGGTGCTATTGACAGCAGCAATCCTGCCACTTGTCAGTGCAAATTAATATCAGCTGGTTCAGTCCCAACTGATGGCCTATAAAAAGGTGTCTCATCACCAAGGTGTCACACAAGAAACATCTCATGATGGGTAAAACCAAAGAGCTCTCTCAAGACCTTCGCAACCTTATTGTTGCAAAACATACTGCTGGCATTGGTTACAGAAGGATTTCTAAACTTCTGAATGTTCCAGTGAGCACTGTTGGGGCCATAATCCGAAAGTGGAAAGAACATCATTTCACCATAAACCAGCCACGACCAGGTGCTCCTCGCAAGATTTCTGACAGAGCAGTGAAAAGAATTATCAGAGGGCAGTATAGGCAAATGTTAAGGGCGCAGTCCCTCTAGGGGGCGCCACAATGGGGGAAGAAAAAAAAAGGTGCAACTTTCAATATTTTTATACTAGAACTAGTTGGTGCTATTATTTCTTATTATGAAAAAAAATAAGCCCGCATTAATTTAACTGCATAGCAAAGCCTATTAAATAATAATAAGACTTTATTAAGCCCCCCCCTCCTCTACCTGCTCTCTGAGAGATGGTTGAGTTTTCTGACGTCACCCCAGAAACCATTAACAATGGCAAAACCACCAAAACTTTCCGGTGCCCAGGGAAGGAAAAAAAGAAAAGAAGAGGAGGAAAAATGTCACAAAGACAGAGTAAAGATAATGTGATGAATAGTGTTGGGCAAGTTAAAGTAATTAGTTACAGTTACTAGTAACTTCTTCCAAAAAGTAACTAAATTAGTTACTCAGTTACAAATTATAAAAGCAACTAGTTACTTCAGAAAGTAACTATTGCGTTACTTTCAAATAAATTTTTAAATGCTCAAATGTGAGCCCACCTCCACCCCTCTTTAACGGAACTTAAAATACATATGCATGTTCAATTATTTATGATAACTCTGAATATTATAATGAAATGGACACTTAATACAATCCATTATTAACAGAAACAATGTACACAAATCTAAACTATTTTAATGTTGCTGTGGGACAAAGTGAGACTAGCCTCCAATCAAATGCCATGTATGTAGATATTATGTTTATATAGTGGATCGATACAAATAACACAATAGATGTTTTGGAACTTTTGATATTTATTGCCCCTCAACAGGCCACAACTGGGCAAAATTAAATTATGCTTGTTAAGCACTATACCAAAAATAAATAACAAATATACACACTCTTTGTAGTGCAAATAAAACAAAAAAAACTTCAGACAATTGGTAGATATACTGTACTTCAAGTATTTTCTTCCTCGAAAAAGTAGAACAGTGTAACAATATGAGGTGCTTTCAATCTAACTGAAAAGTACAATG